GGAATTGTGTTGGTTCCCTGTTGCTCTGTAGATGAGAGCCTCTTGCACATACATATACTTTGTCCTAATTGTGGTCCATCCCCAGGCTGAAGCAGCTTTCCTTCTGTGTCTCAGACTGCACAGAGAACTGCCAGTGCCTTGCAAAGAGCCACATATTCTGGGGAATGAGAAACACGAGCCATGGGCTTGCAGTGGCAGCATAACACATGCCAACAAAGCCACATAAATATTTATCGGCACACAACTGGGGGTAAGAGCTGTTGTCACAGCAGGGCAGAACCAAGGCAGGATCCACTATGCAGGATGCCAAAAGCCAGGAGAAACAGCTCAGCCGTGGATACACAAAATGGTACTTGTCCAGCCAAGGCTGTTGGGAGGGATGGGTGGAGGACAGCAGCCCGGCTTTTTTTGGCCTGTGTGCACAGTCATGCTCAAGTGTTGCTCAGTGGAATAGCTGGGGTATTATTTTTAAAACACTTTTCCTGGAAAGCAGCATTTTACAGCTCAATGGGCATAAGCCTTATCCCCACAGCAGGTTGGCACACAGCTGGTGTCTGGAAGAGGCTGTATACTCATTTTCTGTGCAGGCTGATTTAGGGGACTTGTGGAGAGAAAAGCATTATTTGATACTCCATGTTATTTCCTGGGACCAGTGCGAGGCTTAGGATCAGTGAACTTTGTCCAACTTTAGCATTTCAAAGCAACAAGCTTCTATACCTCAGGTTCAAGATGTCTCCCTCCTTGTGACAGCTGGATTTTCTTCATCCCAATTGTGACGTACTTACAGACAACTGACTCCAAAATGTTAAAGAAAATCAGGGCACTGGCTTACAGTGTAGCTGTGCTTTTGTGGATGCAGCTTATTCTGGGGTAGCGGAGCTAGCTCTACATTTTTTAGTTTGGTTATGTGCCTGCAGCAGTCAGCACAGCCTGTCTGGGGTGCTGAGGAGCAGCATAGATGTTCACCAGGTCATACCCCGTAGTGACTATTGGTTTATATGGATGTGAATCATGAGCATCTCCCAGTGCTGCATAGCAGGGAGGTGCAAGAAGAGATCATTCCACAGGGACCCCGGGCTCTCGGTGAGTCACCTGTAACTGATTTGCAGATATAGCTTAGGAGCTGTTGTGTGAAGCTTTTGGTCATCTTTGTGTGCTACGTCTTGTATGTATTTTGCACATTGGGCACTTTTTGTCCGTCGTTATTACCCAGAGTTACTTCTTTAGGTCTGCCACTTCTTCTGTAACTGTTTCTTCATTGGCTAGCCTAACCTCTCAAGATGTCCGATACCAATACCAAATCACAGCATGGTTGGAATACTTGTGTGATAGCGTCATCTGTCACCGTTGAACAACAGCAACAAGGAAATGAGCAATATTTCAAACTGGAACAGAATGAGAACAGACAAAACAAGAAGAGACAAACTGTAGACCTTTGAATCCCTAGCAGGGAGGTGGATATCCAAGCCCTGAGCCTTCAGAGAGCTGCATGTGCCAATACCACGTTCTGTTTGAAGATCAGAGAATCACAGAATGGTTGAGGTTGGAAGGGGCCTCTGGAGATCATCTGGTCCAAAATCTCTTTGTGAGAGCCAGGGCACAACTTCCTCCTAGTGTGCAAAAGTCTTGGAGGGTTTAATTGGATTTGGTTGGATACAGGTAATTTAATAAATGGCGCTTTCACTGCAGTTCCACAAATACAGAGACAGTGGCTTTACAGCAATTTAAACTAATTTTTAAAGACTCTAAGTACCTTAGTAGTCATAGCAGTTGAGAAAATGCCTTAAATTATGCTCAGTTTAGAAATTAAAAAATTGGAAATACTGCCTTGTCATTGTATTCAAGATGTTTTCTGTTCTGCGTTTCAGCACAGAGTAAATTAGCAGTGGAAGAAGCGGGAAGAAAAATGCAATAGAATTTGTAACAAAATGGCAAAACACAGCTTAAAGCCATGAAAATTGCATACATTAGCAAAAAGGACCTTGTCACCCGCTTCAAGTGCTTCATTTTCCAACACCACGGCATGGCCCCATCTCACATTCCATCTCTGAGACACAGGTGCAAAGGAGATGGGTGGTTTGATGCAATTTATCCATGCAGCCAGGAAATAATGTTCCCTTCCCTGAGGTGCAGGCAAGTCCAGTCATGGATTATGTGCTTGGCTTTCCTCAAGCCACAGCCTCCGCTCGTGTTGGTACACAGTTTCCCAATACCAGCCTTGACTTGTCCTCCAGGTGGCAAGTTACCCCATCGCCTCTTCCCAAGCCTCAGCCACACGTCCAAACAGAAGGAAACGCCCCAGCCTCACCCTCTGAGTCTGGTGAGACTTCTCCCAAATATTTCCAGTGCCCCACCATCCCAGCAGGATGTGCTGCCCAGCCCTCAGCTGTGCAGGTACCTGTCTCAGCCAGCGCTGTCCCTCACGAGGCACTCATTTTGATCGGAGCCAGCACAGGGGCTCTGCTGAGCTGCAGCATTCAGTGATGGGCAAGGGCATGTTTGGAAAGAGCTCATTTGAAGTATACTTGTAGAAGAATCATGAAGGAATAAAGTGTTAATGATGAGAAGCCTGTAGCCCTTCTAGATATACGAGGTTATTCTTATACAAGGACTCCGTAAGTAAATTCCAGGGTTATGGGTCAGTAACAGAGAATGGAATCTGAGCCCTTATGCCTGAAAAATTCCTTAACTGTTATTAGGATAGAAATACTACAAACCATTATTTTAAAATAATGCTGGCTGGGCTTGGAAAATTCACATTCCAATAGTAAGAAATGGTAATTTTAAGGTTACCAAGCAAACATAATATTTCTGCACAAGTGCATATCTTACATTTAGTAAGGCAAGGTTCCCGGGGAAAATGACAAGTGTAATTAAAACCTGTCTCATCATGCACGCACACAGGGGAGGGCAAGCTGTGATTGTAATGGTAACTGCTCCTAGCAGGTGTTTTTCTTTTAATATGAGGTATTAAATAAAACTTCCTGTGTTTATTAACCCAAATACTCTCCTGTATGCTTCTAACAGTGCCTCTGTGATGTATTGCAAACAAGGCTGAACTTGACATACATCTTTCAGCATAAACTTTTGTCTTCAGAGGTACAAAACTACCTACCTTAGCTGAGACTGTTACAGAGGCCTGGAGCACTGTTGATACTGAAAATGCTTTCGCACTTTGTAGCTCTGGAGGTTGTTAGTTTTTCGTGCTGAAGATCTTGGGCTCGTTACGGTGTGGTGAGGATCCTCCACAACTGGTGGGGGAGAGGAGGAAACCCTGCCAGAAGTGCTGTCATCTGTTGCCTGCAACTGTGAGAGGATGAATGTGATCAACTACATTTTTAATACAAAAAGAGTCAGAAGGGCAGGAGGCAGAGCTGGAGCCAGGCACTGGCTTTGGATAGTCTGAGCCTGATGTGTCTCTTCAGAAGGGCAAGGTGCTGGATCTGAAGGAGGGGGAAGCTTGGCTCTACTCTTCCCCCTACAATACTTGATAGTTCCCAGGCACCCCTAGTACTGTGAGACTATGTGGGCTTTTATGACTTTTATTTCAAGTTCATTTGTTATTTGCTGCCAGAAGTCTCCCAAGGAATGTAGACAAGAAGTGGTAAATGGTGATTAATTTAGACAACCTAAGTAGAGGATTTACGACGGGATCCCCATGTAATACAAGAAAGTTAACGGCTTGCTGATGTCCTTTTGTGAGTGAATCCTGTAGCCTGGTTGTTTAATGGAGTGTTTAAAAATTGTGTTGGCAAGAGCCTATGAATAATGTATACAGGAATAATGAAATACCTTACTGCTAAGAAACTGCTGATGTGCTGGGGAAATTTCCGTCCGATGCAAGAACAATTTTGAAAGTACTGTCTTCTTGGGATGCCCTTTATTTATGGTCTTGCTGCTTCAGAGATTGCATTCCCTTTTTAGATACTGCATGTGAAGATGTCCTCCACTGCCTCCGTCTTCCAGCTTCGCCTGACTCCCTTTGCTTGTGTCTGTAAAAGCTTCTGAATTTTCATGAGTTTAGGCTTTATTAACTGAGCACCATAAGCATGGAGATACTTGCTGTGCAGTCTTCAGCCATTCTAGGTATCTGCACCACGGCACATTGCATCAAAGGAAGACGGATGCTGGTTTTGTGTCATGGCAATGTCTCATGATGCAGGAAGCAGAAATAGGGCCAAGCGATTTGGAAAAAAAGACCAATGTTTCTTTTGCAGGTTTTTGGAGCATGGGCTCCTTGCGTGAGATAAGCAACCCCAGAATGTCACACATGGATGTTTAGATTTTGATGGACTTTGCAGTGTGAACCCAGCTCCGACGCCTCTAAATTTTCCCCCGTGTTCCCCTCCAATGCATGAGGCCTCTGCGTGCATTGGCCACAAGTAGTGGGAAGTCATGATACTAAGCAACTAAATCTTGCTTGAGAAGATTGAGAGTGAACCCCTGCTTGCGGGGGAGCTCTGGAGGTTGCAATCCCTTAGCTGCAGGAGAAAACAGGCCTCCTAAAAGACCTGATGACATAGCTCAGGCAGGCACGTGAGGCAATCATAGTCTCTTCCTTTGCTCCTTGTTTTGGCCCTCTGCTGTATTCCAGGAGAAAATAAAATCATAGCTTTGTTTCTCATGCGGGGTTTTCTCCACCTGCACTAAAATGCAGAAGTATCATGGAAGGGCAGGTGAACACAGTATGTACCTTATCACTGTCCAGAGTGGTCTCAGCTAAGTGTATGTTGAGAGCAGACCCAGCTTGTGGAGTCTGTAGCTCCGTGCCCTGCCTCTGCCGTGGCTTTGTTATGAGTAGCCTACTGCTCACACTGCATTTTTGTGTCTGGATTTACACAGTAGAGCCCTGAGTAAAAACATTTCCTGCAATATGGTTAGTATATTATTAGTGTAATGCTAGAACAAAGCAACATGTGATTGATGTTGATGTTAGTCAGCTGAGGAAGTGACATCCCCACCTGGGAGGTTGATGTGATGGGTTTTGAAGTCATGTGGTGATGCCAACAGCAAGCTCCAGGCATGAGGCTACAGGGCAGGTGAGGCAATGGGTTAGAAGAGAGGTTGTATCCTCAGGGTGATCTGCAACTGGCTAAGCAAGAGGATTCACGAAAATGGGAGGGAAGATTTGTATTGTCTTGTTTGCTGCTGGGGGAGTGCTGTGTTTTCGCAGCTACAGGAAAGGAAGTTTATAAAAGGGGTTAGTCTAAACACAAGATAGGTGGCCAGGATCACCAGAGAAGTTTGACTGATGGCCTAAATGTTTTCTGTAGAACAAATAAAGATAAAAAGTATCTAAAACTTCCTCCATCTCCACCACCCAAACCCCACCCTGCCAGCCAAGAAGCGTTTCCAGCAGAGAGGTTCACAAAGGTCTAGGCTGAGGATCATGGTCAAGTTCAACCAGCCTTTCTCAGGGTAGAAGTGCTGCTAGCTGACAGTATACATGAAAGAGCAGCTTTCAAAAGGAAGGAGACAGTTCTGTTATGCAGTTTATTCCACTGATACTTCTGATGATCCTATTAATTTCTCTTTTTTTAATGTTTGTTTCTTCTAGGTGAAGAGTGAAGGCCCCAAACTGGTGCCCTTCTTTAAAGCCACTTGTGTCTATTTTGTCCTCTGGCTGCCAACTTCCAGCCCCTCCTGGTTCAGTGCCCTCATCAAATGTCTGCCCATCTTCTGCCTGTGGGTTTTCCTTCTGGCTCATGGAATTAACTTCTTAGTGTCACACCGGAGTGCCAGCCGCATCCTAGCAGGACTCATATTCTCGGCAGTGGGAGACGCCTTTCTCATCTGGCAGGAGCAGGGCTACTTCATTCATGGTGAGTGCGGTGTCAGTCCTAAAGGGATGCCGCAGTGTCCAGCACTTACCCTCTTTACTTAATAATGAGTTGCTGGGCCAAGTGTTTTCTTTATTCCCACCCTAGCTTAAGCCCCAGGCAGTGGGAAGTACTCATCCCTTGACTAAAATCCATTGTGGTTAGAGGAGTCACACCATGGATGAGTCTTTCTCTTGAGCTTCTCTTGAGGTCAGAGAAGTAATTGGGGCAGGTTTGGTTTCCTGGCACGTGCTCGCAGCATCTCAGCTGGCTGGTGCTGGGAAGGTGGCATGGGCAGAATCCCTGGGGAAGAGAAGGAAATGCTCATGGCACTTGACAGTTCCCATGAAGCTATGGGAAGTATCTACCTCCTGTCTCTCTGCAGGGAGATCTGTCAGCCCTTCTGTACAAGGATCAGAAATAGGACACATGGTGCAAAGGTCCTCAGTGGAGAACAGGTGGAGAGGACCCTTATGTTTTGCTAGACAAGCCTATAGCCGGGGGGAAGTGTTTAAGTGGATGCTAGAAATCAAAGCATCAGAAATCTTGTCCTACCTGCAGTCTCATCAGTATGAATCATGTAGCCTGTTGTACAAGACTTGTCTGTTTTGCAAGGCATGTAAATGATGGGGAATCAAGGGCAAACCCTACCACAATGGCCTGTGACTGTCCCACTGGAAAATGTGATGAGACGAGGGAACTTTGCTGACTTGTGCTGTTGTCAGCTCTGAAAGTCAAAGGCTTATTTTTAACCCACTCTCAGGTCAGTATTTAGTTTTATTCTGAGATTCCCACAAGCTCTTTCTTTATGAGAGGGAAGTGTGTGAAATGCCAGATATGAGAGGCCAAATGCTCTGAATCTGTTTTTAATCCTGCTTCCCAAGGGCTTATGTCAATCTCATTAAAAGTTCATGTAAAAATTTTTACCGATTTTGGTAGGGTTTAGATTAAGCCCTGGGGATTGGATCTATCTGGCTGAACCTTGGCCATGTTGCTGAGGAGCTCCATCCAGCCTTCTCTTGGGGTGCCATCCCCTCTGTGCTGAGTGTTGGCATTCCCACCAACGGGCCTTGTCCTAGCAGGGGTACCCGGCTCAGCGCAGGTCGCCTCAGCCCAACTGCTTGTGCTTCTGTTTTGCCTCCTGTTGTTGCTCCTTGAGCTGTGGCTTGGAAAACATTCAAGGCCTGATTCTCACCATGACCATTTTTGTACTTGAACTGTGCTAAGCTTCTCCTTTCTCATGTAGCTGGGATATCTCCGAGTCCCCTCTCCAATTTAGCGCTAGAGGAAGGTCAACCAGTCACAGCAATTCAGTATCTGGTTAATGTGTTTTAATCTGCAAATAAGTTGGATTTTCAACCCTAGTGTCACAATTGAGAAGTGCTGCTTTGTGGATTTAGACACACTTTTCTTCTTAAGGAGAAGAAAAGAACTCTTGGAGCATTTTGAAAATCTCAGCCTTCATCCTGGCTGTCTCCTGCCTGCTTCAGTCTGTGCTCATCTGAGCTACCATCTTCCACAGTGAAGTGTTAACATTTGCGTTTCAGCTGTTAGCAGATAAAGTGTACCACCCCACTTCATTCTTCACCTCTCCTGCAAAACATATTTTCTCCTGTTTAAAACTCAGCAGGCTGCTGTTGTTGACAACTGACAATATTCAAACTTTTGACATCATCGTTTGTGGGAATTTGAAATTTCAGGGGAATAAGAGGAAATATTAGATAAAAATACACTTTCTGTTCAGTTTCTATAGCTTTCAGGCTGAAAAAAGGGTTGGGAATTGGACTGATTTGAATAGCTTTTGAGACAATGAGTTTATAAAAGGACATTTGTTCATTACTTTATAGGGAAGTGAGAGCCTGGGAACCTACTCCTGGCACACTTGACTTTTTTTTGTTTTTGCTGTTTCAGTCCACTAGTAACACACTATTTTCCGACTGGTGTCTTACTGCATGTAGAAGATGAGATACTTTACATTGTTAACATCTACCTCCTTTGATAGCAGGCACTTAGAAACAATTTATGCATTCTGTGAAGAAGACAGGGACTAACAAAAAGGACTTATTGCCAGCTTGAGGGGGAAACTCCAGAGGCAGGGAGGGGGAAGGAAGCGGACAGAGAGGAGAAGGGCTGGTCTGCCTGATGTGGTTGGGAGGGCCAAGCCAAAGGCTTAGAAATGCAAGAGAAATGCAACCCCCTTCCTGTGCAGCTGTCACAGGTCTCCCCAGTTCCTGGCTTGATTTGTGGGTGTTGAATGAGCAAACCTGGGAGCTGACTCCCTTGTTTGTGACCAGCTTCACCACATATCACAAAACTCCTCCTGCCTTTCTGGGCTTCTGCTTGGCTGCCACATCCTGACCTCTCCTCCTCCTCCTCCTGCTTGTCCTCCTCCTCATTGACAGCTGCCTGCATGAAGGGCAACACATTCTTTAGTTGCCCATCCCAGAACTCTCCATATAATGCTGTTGAAGGAAAAACCACTTCTCACTGCTAGGGCGAAGTAACCTTCTTCTCCTTACCACCCCCAGGGCTCTACCCTTTCCTGCACTAAAACACTATAAACAGCTCTTGTCCTAGATCCCTCCTCCGTTTCCTCAGTGCTGTGCCCATGATGTATAATAGCTCTGTGAAACATCAACTTCTCGTTGCCCTCCTTTGCACTTCTTTCCCCTTCACGCTGTCCATTTTCTCTAGCCTCACCTTGTGGACCAGATCCCTCCCAGCCCCCTCCCTCCTGCAGGTTCCCCTCTCATCCCACCACGGCTCATCTGTCAGTGGATGTCTGATCTGGTCCTCCCAAAAAGCACTTACCCTTCTTAGAGCTACCTCAACACAAGAGTATTAGGATGAAGAAATGTCTGCCAGCAGCAGGTTTTAGTGACTGCCCTTTACACCACAGCATCATGCTTTAAATGCAGACAAGTGTCCTGCTGGAGGACTCAGCTTCCTAGATCCTTTTCTCCATTTCATGCTTTAGAGCTGCATGAAAACTTCAGCTACTCTGATAACCCAGGATAAAGTGGGACAGCCTGCAGCTGCACCATGTGTTGGTCTGGGAACCAGAGGAGCTGGACTCAGTTTGGGGCCCATTATCTACAGTTGACGTGACAGCTAGTAGTCATCAGCTGTACCAACACATGACATTTTTTGTCAAATGGATTAGTGGCAAGTTAATAACATATGGGCAGTACCTTCCAACACCCACATCTGGCATTTCTCAGGGGTGTTGCACTTCAAAGGGAAGCTGGCATTTTATTTTCACTGATTGATTCCAGCTAAGGTTCATCTGAATCTTGTAAATAGCCATGAAATTGTTGGCAGATCACATTGATGCAGTCCATGAAATATGCCAGCTGCTTCTTTCCAGCTTAGGTTCTGCTAGCTATGGGCAGAGATGGAGTAGAAGCCAGAGTTAGTCCAAGTGCCTTTGGGTTTGTGGCTAAATATGGTCAGGCTTTGTGTCTGGGTTCAGAGGGATTGGTATCTTTTCTCACATTTTGTTCCTACACTGCTCTGATTCCAGCTTTCCTGTTCCACACATCACCTATGGGCAAAACACTTTGGATAGTTAGAGGGGATGATCTTTGGTCTGCCTTGCCCCCACTCTTCCATCCAAAGCAGGGGAGGAACCACCTGAAAACCAAGTTTTGTTCCTTCTGCAGCAGCTTAGTTCACCTGGCCTCTCAGCAAAAAGGCTTGCATCACAACAGAGTTGTACTTGGCTGCTGTTGTAGATGCGCTGGGGCTTTTTCTTGAGGCGAGAGCTTGGTGCTAAGGCTGATCTCCTGTGCACAGATTTTTATATTAAAATGGTCCCAAGTGGTCAGTATGGTTCCCACTGAGAGCGTTAAGGGTTGTAACACTGCGAGGACATCTAAGCCCGTGCCTGTTGCAGTATATTTAAAACCCAATATAGCCACATGTTTTCTTCTGCTACCAACTGCCAGTCACTGATGAAAGGTCACATTTGCTATGTCAATGCCTCTTTCCAGGTCTGCTGATGTTTGCCATCACACACATCCTGTACTCTTCAGCCTTCGGCATGAAGCCTTTGGACCTCAAAGCCGGCTTGTTGATGGGCCTTGTTTCCAGTTCCTGTTATGCCTTCCTGTACTCCTACCTCTCAGGCCCATTCACCTACCTGGTAGCTGTCTACATTGCCTTGATCGGCTTCATGGGCTGGCGAGCGGTCGCCGGCATGCAACTGTGCAACGACCTCTGGACATGGACCAAGCTCTCGGCCTGCATCGGCGCGATGCTGTTCATGGTGTCGGATCTGACCATTGCACTTAACAAGTTCTGCTTTCCTGTGCCCTACTCGCGCTTCATCATCATGGCTACTTACTATGCAGCCCAAATGCTTATTGCACTGTCAGCTGTAGAGAGCAGAGATGAAGAGGACTTCAGAAAGAGGAGCTAGGTGGAGTGCCAATAGTCTGTGAACAACGTGGGTTATATCTCAGGTGCTGTAGCTGCATTCACCCCTGAGAGAGATCTCCATTTCTCTAAGCACATTGGTGATGTTGATTTTGCTTCTTTGAAGCATTACCTTTGGGGCTTTTTTTTTTCAATGGCTTTCTCTGAATACAGCTTACTTCAGTGTGGAGTCAACATCAGAAAGCTTAGACTGTCCCTGCAGTAGCTACTCATTCAACTTTTCCTCCTTGGAAGTGCTGTACTACTGCATTTTACTTGTTAGTCTCGAAACTGATGCTGAATGTCTGGGAAGAGGAGGGCTGATGGAAAGGAGGTTTGGCCATGCACTGTGCTAGAAGACTTGCTTTCAGTAGTAGGCAGACAGGCACAGATCTCTGCTAAAGTCATAGGTAAAAATTAATTTAACCGACATTTGTCTCTTTTTATGCATTACAAACTCAGTATGCAAACTGGAGCTATTGCCTCTGCTGAAAGGAAGCCTGGAGGTAGAGTAAAAACAGCATATCCAGATGAGGGCTGAGCTTTGCAGTAAATGGCAGCATGTGGGGCAGCCCCCAGCAGAACCAGAATGAAAGCAAAACACCAAGCAGAGAGCACAGAGCAAGAGGTGCGCTGACATGCAGTGCTGCGTGCTTTGATCATGGCCGATCACTGCTCCAGGGCAGGTCTGTAGGTGCAAGTCAGCATTGCCGTGTGTGGCAGAACTAGGAGTTTGGTGGGATTTCAGGGACATCTAGGTAGCCAGGCCAGTGCGTTCTGCCCTGCCATGCGTGCACAGTTACACGGTGTCTCCAGTGACAGTTGAGATGTAATGGGCACATGAAGAACTTCTTTGATTTTTACAGCAGGACTTTGAGCATGTGTCTTACTAATGTATGCCCTAATTGTCCTTAGTATGGCAGACAGAAACCTAACCTTTATGCCTTTCTTTCCCAGTATCCTAACAAAGAATATTCCATATACTCATTAAGCTTTACAGTACTGCTGCTTGCAGTATCTCTCTCAGATCTTCGTGTGAGCATTTCCTGTGGTCAAGGCCCTGATTTTAGATGTAGATTGTTGTTGTGTTTTGCCAGCTGGTGGTAAACAATCAACTTTACAACACTTGTTTTTGGAAAGCCCCTTTTCAGCAGAGCTTCCTGAAAAACACTGCCCTGTGTGTTCAAAGTGCCTGCTGCTTCCTTCTCAAACTCACATAGATGCAGTCAGAATGTGGCATCAGGGCTGGGAAAGCCTGTTTAATTCTGATCCAAATTCTTTGGTTGGTTTGTCTGCCCATCTGCTGAAGCAAGATTACTTCTCAGACTCTTTAAAAAAGATATAGGAAGAGGTTGCCCTGATTTTTAATCCAAGTTCATTTCTGATCATATGTGTATTTTTTCCTCTTATTTGGGACAACTAACAGCAAGCTCTGTTTCTGTTTGAAACTATCTTGAATGTGCTTTCTCCTTCTGTCCGTCCTAGGGTCGCTCCCATGGGCTGAGATGCTCCCCCAATGGCTTGTTTTAAGACACGAGTGTACTCAGGTGTGCAAAGGAAGCTAACTGAGGGTTCCCGCACCTCTTCAAGCCTGCAGCCAAACAGGGACAACCAGAGCAGACTGCACGACTCGAATCCATGCACGCCGCAACAACCCCTTGCACCCGCTAACGTGGGCAGAGGGAGCCGGAGGGGCAGCCCTCGTGGGCTGAAAGTCACCACAGTCTCCATACCTAGCATGCCCAGACCATTCCAGGCGAAAGCCTGGCACCGAGTCCCTGGCACAGTCGGCAGAGCAGGAATTCCTCTTTGCGAGGAGTGCGGCAGGGTCAGGGGGCAGCTGAGGAAACCCTACCAACCCTGCTAGCTTTTCCCTTGGTGTTGAGAGGTGCTAAGTGGGTCTCCTGCTCCTCCCCAGCCTCGTGTGGTGGGACTGGCTGGGGAATAGGCATTGCCTCCCCATGACTTCTGCGTTAGGGCAAATGCAGCCAGTATTACAAAAATCTAGGTTAACCATCCTGACCCCGTGGAGTCATCTGCTGCTTTTCAGACAGAGATCAGAAAGGTCAGCTGCATTATTGAGAGGGAAAGCATTGTAAATAGCACAGCCCCGTGTAATCTTTTCCCTTTAATGCTGTTGTGTGATATTGTCAGTATTCATTCACTGGCGCACTGGGGCCTGCCTAGAGTAAATTGCTAAGGGGATTTAGAGCCATAAAACATCTTCATTCATCAGCATTGCTTATCTCCTGGCCGCAGCTTGAACCCTGCAGTGTAGCTCTCTGCAGATGTCACCTGCTGTTACTCAGCTTGACTGTTTGCAAATCTCTTCCTGCAACAGATTGACCCAGCTAAGAGGAAATCTAAGCATTTGGGATGAACCGCCCCCCCCAGCATGTGAGCAAACAGCACACTTCAGTCTGATTTACAGCTTCTTGCCATGGGTCAGTCCAGCGCACTCAGTCCTTAGTTGGCTGTTCTTCAGAGGAGCCCCCTGCACCCTGAGCTTCCCTTTGCTTTGAGGGAAATGCATGTGTGATAAAGTAAGCTTTATTTAAAAGTTAGAATTTTGATTATCTCTTTCTTCCCCTCTAGAAATGAGTAGTCTTCAATTTCCTGAAGATGGCCAAGTTGCTTTTCTGTGTGCTTTTTCATCTTGGCTTGCTTTGTTATCCTGCTCCACCATCAGCCACTGGATACTTGCAGAAAAGGATCTTTGGAGTGTTATTAGGAGGCTTGCCCTGTCCTCTCCACTGGCCATCAGAGGTGCAGTTTCTGGTGGCAGAGGTCTCTTGGTGGCTTTAGCTGGGACAGCAGAAACATGTGCAGCCCAAGTGGGCTGTTGTTCCCTCGCTGTCCCCTTGCCTGGAGCGGGCTGGCTGGGACGCATCCTGGCCAGCCACACTGGCTCCGTACCAGTGCTGCAATGGCTTCAGCGTTCCCAGGAACACAAGGCAGAGCCCTCAGCATAGAAAGTCAGGGACAGTCCTGGCTGGCTTGGAGGTTTGCCAGTGAAGGGTCTCAATCTTCAAAACCTCTCTCCTGCTCTGCATTCCTCCTTTTAATCCATATTACTTGAATGAGACCATTTTCCTGGAGGCTCTTTCCTGCTGTGGACACTGATTTGACACAATTTTGGGTTTCATAAACCCTGAGAAACACTAAGCAGTTGCTGACAGTCTGTTAAATACCTTTTCTTGGGATTAAAACTGTTCCCTCAACCCCAGTGAGGGCAATCTTCACTTTGAAAGGGAGCATACAAGAAGTGGGAATGACATGACTGTCTGTGGCACTGCCTTTGTGGACCTTCCTGTTGTCTCTGCACTGTAAAACTGCAAGGTTTGATCCATTCTTCTCCTTTTCAGGAGTACAGTCTTTGAGAAGCACCCAGTCTTTGGCCCAGGGACATTACAGAGGGAATCAAGCTCCCCCAGCAGTGTAGTGTGCCTGGCCCCAGCAGTATCAGCTCCTTTGCTTGCTAAGTACAGAGGCTTTCTTTTCACATTGCTGTATTCAAACACCCCTCTGTGATTCCCATCTATGGTCACTTGAGGTTACACACATGGTCCGATTACTTTTGCTCTCTTTCCCTTCTGTAGTTACCACCCTCTTGGAGATTCTTTGGCTCCTTCTTTGGACATATAAAAGATGTAGCACATTTATTTCAGCCTTGCATCTCTTTCTGTACATAGACCCTCCTCACACAGAATTCCCAGTGAAGTCAAAGAAGCAATGCTAATTGCAACTGGTCTTTAAATGCTAGTAATCCTTCTGGGCTGTGCCAGTCACACTGATGTCAGCAGGGTGAACCTGGTGTAGAAATGGAGGGTTGAGAAGAACAAAGCCAGAGGATTTTAACAGCTTTACTCCTACTCTACCAAGAAAATTGCATTTGTGCTTAATACATGGCTGCTTACTACTCCATACTAAGGCAACTGTAAGACTGATTGGTTTAAGAATTACTGTAACATGGCTTTTAAGTAGATTGCTGAAGGTTTCATATTGTAATCAGTGGAGGCAGTTGACATATTTTTACACAAGTATATAAAATTCCCATGACAAACTGCAGAACTTTTAGTGGCTCTTCAAAGTTTTCCAGTCTTGTAGTTTGACACGAACACCTGTATGTTTTCAGCTTGCTATCATTGTAATTTTGGGAGCTGTTCTGGACAAAGCAGATCAAAGCAAACAGCAACTGTAAAGCTCAGTGGCAGGTGCCTCCTTCTCTTTGCTTGATTTCTGGATACTGACAGGGACTCTTTTAAGCAGAGGCATCATAACTGTGTTCTTGGAAGAGGATAGGAAGTTGCTGACTTCTCATGACAGAAGTCCTCCTGGGTACTTCTCCTGCCTTTTATCCATGCTTGCTCCTTTTGTGGCCTTGGGTAAGTCACTTAAATTTTCTGGGGCCAGGTCCTCATCTGGTGTAAAATAGTACAAGTGTATAAGGGCCAGTGCTACGCCAAGTTACAGCAGCAGGGGATTAGGTCCTCACCCCATTTCTAAAATGAGGATATTAGCACTTACCTACCTCACAAGGATGCTGTGAGGATTAATGCTCATACAGCGCTTTGAAGATGTAAAGTGCTATATAAGGCCCAAGTATTATCCTACCTTAGTGTTAAAAATGCTTTTGGGGATCTGCAGGACTTCTCTTAAAGCGTGGAATGTGTGACTGCCTTTTCAATTTGCATCAGATGGAAAGCAAATGTGAAATACTTATTCATACTGGTTAACAGGATGGGCTCAGCTGCACTTGAACTCTGAGGACGGTTTAGCTTAAAAGTCTGAACTCTTATTTCAGTTTTGCAAATGGTTTTTAGTTCTTCTAAAAGCCTCAACCAAATTCTTAGACATGAACCTTGCATCCAAATTTTGCAGTCTGGTCTTATCCCTGACTGTGAGCTAGAATAAATCTAATCCAGCCAAAGCACAGTGCTTTCACATTCTGCTATGGCCGTTGAAAAGACTGGAACAGAAAATGAAGTAATTCTGTTCAATGTTCATTCTGCAGAAGGTCAGCTGTGTTTCATGGGACAACTTGCAAAGGGATGTTTAATTTCAGTGATTTTAAGTTTTACTGGCTTTAAAAATCAGCAGAGAGGGAAGGCCTTGATGGAATCAATAAGGTCAGCACATCCTTCTTGAATTACTTCCTTTTCACCTGAGTCAAAGAAATAGCAGGTTCTGTAGCAAAGGAAGTGCTTGTACCACCAGTCCTAGGGCCCAGAACGAAAGTTGATCTAGAAATACAGCTCTAAACCATCACCATGTTCTCAACCAGTATGAAAATGCCACTGTTCACTGATTTCAAATCTGGACCACAGCTAGAAACTACTTAGTTCTGGTAGCACTAGCTGCTGTACAAACACAAATGAAGGTGAGGAATTACACACCAAGGAACGTGAGCTGTGTACATGTGAAATGGACCATAATTTTGAAGCAGCTGCAGTAAAATCTTATCTTAATATGAACTCAGAAGCAATCACAATGCAAATTTTTATGGTTTCTTTAAAATGTTTGATGGGTTTTAGTTTTCTTAGTTTGGAGATTTTCTTAATGTTATTTTATTTTTGCTCTTATTGTAAAGAATAAAAATATACAACTCTAGCTAGACTACAAATGAAAAAAGGTGGCCAGTTGGCAGGAATGCCAAAACTTCTGTGGCTTGTATTGTTTCTGTGGTGACACTATGCTGCTGTAGGATGAGCTACTGGTGTGGTGTGATGGCTCAACAGTGAGGCTGAAGCACAATAAGGCCAGTCTCATATAAGAGGGATGCAGGGGCTGAGGCACCGAGACTGCAGTGGGAGCACGACTGGGCCAATTTGGATCAGTCAAAAGACAGAGAGAGCATCAGGAAATAAAAGAAACTTTTTCCTGACAGATAAAAAGCAAGAAACCAAAGCCAGCCCATTGGGCAACGGTGCTGAATCAGTACAAACACACGTATCTAGACCTTGCTTGTGCAGGCTCCTGGTGGACCAAGCCTTGCTCCTAATTCACCTGGGGGGGCTTGCTCCAAGCCTACGGTGCTGGCAAGGTCAGGCCAGCAGAACCTGATGCTTTGTTATATAAAACTCCAAAAACTAGAAAACAAACAAAACAAAAACAACAAAGAAGGAAGGAAAAAGCAAATGCCAATGGGTAAGCAGTAGTAGTTCTGCTTGGCTGAGACTGCAGACTGGCTGGTCTGTCCTGAACACTAATAGCCATGTCTTGTACCCATGCGAGCCTCTCGCTCCAGCCCCTCTCCCACGCATTCCAGGCAGAGTGCACTGAAAGATGTAACTGAAGCAGCTGCTCTCCCCCAGGGAGTCAAGCATTTTGCCATGTCTGAAAGTCTCTAGCACTTACTTCCTTTACTGTGATTGTAAAGGTCACCACATGCAGTACAGCCACTTGATCTGGGATGTTTTCTTAACATATTTTTATGCTGATTTTACTATTTTAATTCTTTGTTTGAAATGTATTTTTTTTTCTCATTTCTTCTGTGTATAACAGCAATTAAATATATTAATTTACCGGGTATTTTTACTGTGCAGATACAATGTCTCCTTGCCCATTTTCTGTTTCTGTGACAGTTTCAGCATGGAGTATGTAGCCAACTGAACCTCTGTGGCAGGCAGTTATGTGCCACCGTTCTGCCCATCAATCGTGTGGCTCTGCTCTGGAGCTACCCAGCGGCCCACTGAAGCTGACTGACAGTCACAGCTGGCTACAGTATTCCTGTCTGGGGAGCCCTGGAACACAGCCACATGAACCCCACAGAGCACATCCAACACAAAGCAACCAGGCATCACCACGACGGTGGCACCTGGCTTGTGTTACAACACATGCTGGGTGCCCTGGGATGCGGCGCCCTGAAGCACGCTCGCTCCTTGGTGCTACAGCCAGTCCCACATACAATGGCCATTTGTCCACACTTCCAGGGAGAAGGCAGCTTGCTGCAAAGGATTGCTCTGGGAAGGCTGCTTGCTGCCCAGAAATCTCAGACAAATGGCCAAGTCTCTCTTCCCCCTGCCCCAGCAAAATTTCCAGGAGGAAAAAGTCAGGGTAGTATGGACATTTTTCTCTGGTTGGGGATCTGATGCCAGTTTCTTCTGTTGTTTGATGCAGTGGCACAGATATTTGGTTTCATTAATCCTGAACCAGGCCATCTGTCACCAGTGGAACAGGTTTCAAGGATTTATAGCATAGAAACACAGAGTGTGTAACTGCTCCCAGTCCATTAAATGGATCTGCTCACAGGCTTAACAGAGACTCCTTCATACTCCCCTTCTGAAGTGGAGTGGTTCCCGATGTGAGAATGAATCAGTACCAGGCAGAAATACTACCAAATTCTTTTCAAAGCAGCCTGAAGGAGTTAATGGCAAGCAAAAGCGGGTGCTTCTTTCCTCTTTCTTTAATTTGGTCTTTTACAATTCCTTTCAAAAACTTAATGGCCTGCTGGGAGGAGCATCCTGTTTCCTCACACCTCCTTCCTAGCTCCAGATGGAACAAAGGTGGCAAAATATTCTTAGACTGAGTGTATGTCTGTGGTTGGCCACTGCTATGCTTTTATTCCGCAAGTGGCTCCTGGAAGAATTCACTCTAAATTAAAAGAACCAGCACCAATGTATATGTATGCATATTTATCTATCTGTCAATCTGTTGATCCTTCAATGGTTCAAGATATTCTGTAATTCCTTATCTAGTCTTGGCCACCAGCAGTGAAGTTCCTGGACCCTTCTGGATCTTACCTTCTATGGCCAGCTCTTGCACAAAGTGACTCCCTCATTTGCAAAGCTGCAGACTGTATTTACTTTCTTGGTATTGCAAGGATTTAAGTAGTTCAGATTTATGGCTGACTCTATGTTTATATACAATCTGACATAATGAAGCCTAGATCATCACGGAGGTCCTGCTGGGCTAACTGGGGACATGGAGACAGAACCCAAGTCTCCTTTTGAACTCAGAAGCAGGATTCTCATTGACCAGTACAGAAGCAAACTGATACATAGAAGAGAGAACTGCAATCTTTGGCTTCTTTTATTACCATTAAGATACATTAGCAGATCATATTAGAAACATCACCTTTAACATGCACGCTGCTGTCTGAAACCACTTAGAGGGAGGGAAGATGGAAACATCAGAAGCGTCCCTGCTGAGCAGAAGCCCCATTCTACCACCTGGTTTAACTGACCATTACAGAAGCCAAGGACAGTTGCATTTTGAGCCACAGAAAGAAAGACAAACTACACAGCCACAGCAATGCTGTTCTGCATGCTGGACCAGGCAGAGCTAGTTCCACTAATTACGTCTTGTGTTTTGACTTCTGCGAACTTTCTGTCACTGCGTCCAGGAGGCTTTTATCATCTTTTTCTTAAGGAACAAACAAACAAACAAACAAAAAAGGAGTGAGTGCCATAATTACTGCAATGAACCCTATGTTTTGAGTGCAAGTCTCACAAAGTTCTGGCTAAAAAGCTTTATAAAGCTTTCCACTGTATAAAGGAAAAAGCTGTCTGGTCACAGTTTTCATAGGAAGTGAACAGTTCAAATTTAGGGAGTTCTCATTTTCATTCTTATTTCCCCTTGTTCAGTTCCCCTTCACTGTTCCGAGTAATTCACTTTGGGTCTAACAGGCTTTGTGTTCTCTGCAACCTGCCACCTCCCAGCCTAAGGAAAATGATATTCACCCCTTCTGAGCTACAACAGCAGGAAAGATGCTGCTCTGTGTCACAGAGGTGGAGCAATGCTCTATTTGTTTTTGCAAATATTAAGAAAAAGGCTAAAAATGAAAACATGGCTAAGCAGAAGAATGCAAGTGTCCTTCCTTAAAGAAGAGAGACAGAAGAGCATACATGTATTGGGTTTGCATGGCAAGGTTTTGGTAGCAGGGGGAGCTACAGGGGTGGCTCCTGTGAGAAGCTGCTAGAAGCTTCCCCCATGTCCGACAGAGCCAATGCCAGCCAGCTCCAAGACGGACCTGCTGCTGGCCAAGGCCAAGCCCATCAGCGACAGTGGCAGCACTTCTGGGATAACATATTTAAGACAGGGAAAAAGTTGCTGCAGAACAGAAACTGCAGCTGGAGAGAGGAGTGAGAACATGTGAGAGAAACAACCCTGCAGGCACCCTTGCAAGGTCAGTGAAGAAGGAGGGGGAGGAGGTGCTCCAGGCGCTAGAGCAGAGATTCCCCTGCAGCCTGTGGGGAAGACCATGGGGGGGCAGGCTGTCCCCCTGCAGCCCAGGGAGGACACCACGCCGGAGCAGGGGGATGCCTGAAGGAGGCTGTGGCCCTGTGGGAAGCCCGTGCTGGAGCAGGCTCCTGGCAGGACCTGTGGCCCCAAGGAGAATGGAGCCCACGCTGGAGCAGGTTTTCTGGCAGGACTTGTGAGCCTGTGGAAGGGACCCACGCTGGAGCAGTCTGTGAAGCACAGCAGCCCATGGGAAGAACTCACATTGGAGAAGTTCATGGAGGACTGCCTCCCGTGGGAGGGACCCCATACTGGAGCAGGGGAAGAGGGTGAGGAGTCCTGCCCCTGAGGAGGAAGGAGTGGCTGAAACAACAGGCGATGAACTGACCGCAGCCCCCATTTCCCATTCCCCCGCGCTGCTGGCAGGGAGGAGGTAGAAAATTTGGGAGTGGACTTGAGCCTGGGAAGGAGGGAGGGGTGGGGGGAAAGGTGTTTTAAGATTTAGTTTTTATTTCTCATTACCCTACTCTGATTTGATTGATAACAATTTAAACTAATGTCCCCAAGTCAAGTCTGTTTTGCCCATGATGGTAATTGGTGAGTGATCTCTCCCTGCCCTTATCTCGACCCACAAGCCTTTTGTTGTATTTTCTCTCCCTTGTCCAGCTGAGGAGGGGAGTGATAGAGCGACTTTGGTGGGCACCTGGCATCCAGCCACGGTCGACCCATTACAATACATGAAGAGGAGTGGAGACAGATATTTGAGAAAGAGGTTTAGCTCCCATGGAATCAGCATAGAAATCAGCAATTTGAGACTCCTGCACAGCTATTTGAATCAGCAGATTTGCCATCCTTAAGATCACTCCTTACTCCCTTCCCTTTCAATAGCCTGTCACCAGGTAAGGACCATTGAAAGTCTGTAAAAAAGTCCCTAAAGAAATTCTTCCAAGTCCTGGTCTGAAGTAGCTCCCAGCCTAACAAAGAGTGCTTTCACACAAGGTATGATGTCCTCCAGTCTACAGCACCCGACCCCAGGCAGTAACTACCCCTCTTCCAGAACTAAAATCAGCAAGAATATAGTTCCTGTGATCTCAAATAAACCTGCAGTTAAGCTCAATTTGAAGTGAATTCCTTATCTCCTAAAGTCAGCTTTACAGTCTCTTATTCTGACTCCTGCTTCCCCACCTCACTCAGCTGCAAACAGCCCTAGCAGCAGAGAGACCCTCCCAAGAGACTGCCCAGGTCAAGGTAAGGAGGAGCCTCAGGAGGCCTCAGAAATAGGCACCCATTAAGGAATCTGAATATAAGTAAGCACCTCACTCACACAGTACTGCATGTAAACAGGCTGCTTTGAATAACTTTGAAGAGGTGTGTTCCTATTGTAACAGTCCTCACCTCAGCAAGCTCTGTGTGGGAAGGCAGGAGGTAAGTCCTACCCAGCAATCAGATCTCCGAGGGGATAGCAAGCTGTTCTTGTGCCCCTCAGGCCTGCCTGCCCTCCCCAAAACTAGGTGAGCAGTGCTGCCAGGGTTCCTCTAACGTCAGCCTGGCTGGCAGTGATGCCAGGCCAGGGAAAGCTCCCACTGATTTTAGGGACTAGGAAACTGTCCTCCAGCTGTGGCTTGAAACTGGCTTCAGGGAGGAGTGTATCAAGGAGCATGGGAAGTGGGAGACCCAGTAACACCAGCAATTCTTAAAAAATGGTAAAGAATTGCTTTCAGCCTTTTAGGCGGGCAGTGGCTGGCTACAGTGAGGAAGTGTTGCGTGTATCCTGCACGCAAAGACAGATGAGTTTGCTTGAAAATCAGAGCCGGAAACCCAGCGTGCACATCCTTTCCCTTCACTGACCCGCAGTGAGCTACTTCCACGTTAGCAGAGAGAACCGAACCCTGGGGGGGCTCAGCAGTTGTCAGCCGGCTGTCCAGAAGCAATGATCACAGATAAAAATAACCTTAAAAGATCTTTCCAAATATAGTCCCTCATTATTGGTGCTGTATCAGTTTCATTTCAAGCTGTGCCTGGCAGTGTCTGTCTCTTGTTCCCTTTAAGAGAACACTAACATGTCCTGAGACACCAGGGCCTTTCTCTAGAAAGGGAGAATGGAGGAAACATACTTCAGTGTCTTAACAGACAAAAGGATGGAGAATTCTTGCTCTCAAATGTTTAACCTTGAAGGCTCCCTTGTTCATCAATCACAAGTGAGGCGAGCTTTCCAGGGGCTGATGAAAATCACAGGACACAGCTGTTTCAAGGTGCTGCTGTCCATATTGTAAGACCAAGCTCTTTGGGCATGGTGACATGGGTGATGTGTGGATTGTGGGTTACTGTTACTAAAACCTCACCCCATACACCTGGAAGCGTTCAGTCTTACAGGACCAATTTGAGCCAGCTGGAACCAAGCTGCGTGTTACAACCTGATTTAAAGCTTCACTGGGTGGGAGCTTCCAGCATGGAAAAAAACAGGGAAGGGAGAAGGGGATAGGAAATGTTTGATTTTCTTCCTTTTATTGTCTTGGAAATTTTTACTAGCTTTCATACAATGTTGGCAAAATCCTGCCATTTCATGAAGGAAGAGAACAGATTTACCCAGTGCAGTGTCTGTGGTATCTGCAAAAAAAGCACAAAGCTGTTGTCAGAATGCATCAGTTGACTGCTTGGAGGTGCCAAGTATGCCACAGGTGCAGGGCAAACCTGCTTAAGGACTGAGAAATGGCCATATTGGCTTTTGAGCCATCTAGGGAATTCATGAGAACTGCTAGCCAAAACATGCCATTTTAAGGGACCCAATACTGCTTTCAAGCAACTGAAGACAAATCTCCGTGACTTCAGAGGAAGACTTCAAAGTCAGAGTTAGGCTGTTTTTTTGATATGAAGGTAAGTTCTTATGATGTGGCCCTTGCAGCTCCAGCTGCAGTACCTACAGACTGAGGAATCTCTTCCTCTGTGAACAAGGATGAGAGCCAAACTGGCCCAGAGAAGTGTGATCCACAGTGCCAGTCCCTGTAAGAGCACTTGCCCTGGAAAATCGCAGGGTGTAAACTATACTTAGACATGAAATCTATGGCTACTCAACCTGGAGGGAATCACCCCCACAAATCACAGTGGCTGCAAATCTGACTTACCACAGGCAATCACCTTGCAGCTGCTGTCACCAGACAGATGCTACTTGTTGAGTTGAACCACAACTTAGACTTGGATGTGATGCAATATTGCCCTTGTACAGGGTCACTGTTGGGTGGGGGTTTCTGATGAAAGCACAGCTCATGGCACAGTTGTTGCCATGACTCATGCTGTTGTTCTACAGTGGGGTGATGAAATGGGAAGCACAGTCCTTCCTGGGATACTCATCTTGAAGTCAAAACACTCTGCTGAGGACAGAGTCGCTATGGGCTGCTTCACACTGCACTGTCTGTTGCACATGCAAACACAGAGCCAGTACCATTAACACAGAGAGTCTTCTGCATGAGTACAAATCCAAAGAGCTTGGGTATGGTATTTCATGACCTGGGCCTTCTTTCCCACCAGGGAAAACTCAGGGATACATTGCATTACTCTCAGCATCTGACCAGCATACCTATCTCAACATATAACCAAATACAAACTAAAAAGCAAGAGAGGAAGGAATCAGAAATCTCATTTTCCCATTAATCTGCTATGCAACTGTAAGCAAGCAATTAATTTCTTTGGTTTTTTTGGTCTGTAAATAAGGTGTCAGGTTTTTGCTCCATGGGGATACATTGATGCCTTCTCTCACTAATGCCATTAAATTGTAAAGTGCTTTTGGATATTCGGCTCCCAAGGCACTTTAGAAATGCATGATTAAATTACACTCAATTACAAACCAAAGCAGGTGATCTTGTAAAGGAAAGGATATTGCCCTGCTGATGTTGCTCTGAGGCATTAATAGCCTACAGAATGCTCTGGTGGAATCAAGGGGAACTGCACATGCAATTTAATTTCCAGTGTCCACTGCAAATCTTCCATTTTCAGCCTCTATTTAAAGACATTTCTTGAAGTCTTTATTATCTCCTTTTTCATTGGCATGGGGTCCCATCAGGTAAATCCCCTGGATCCTAAATGTAGCACTGTATGGCAAAATTCACTTGTGATACCTCATTCTCAGAAAACAGCTCCTCCTTATCCTTCAGAGTTTTTCTACTGTCTTTCAGGTTTGTGTAAATAAACCTTGTGACTTGCCATTTATGACGAAGAATAAGAAATCAGTTCACATCTGCTTGTGTCCTGCTGTCCTCCCTGAAGACAGGCAGGCTGTTATCAAGGGAAGGTTCAAGGGAATGCACTGCAAGGCACAACCAACCTTGCTTTCCTCCATTTAATACTCTCTTATACTCACCTATGTACACAGAATTTACTGAAGTTATTTCAGACTCTGTAAAATCCAGGCCTAGAATACCTCCATACAAGAACACGCCTACAGCCACGTAACTGGAAGTGCTCTTTCTCAGCTGCACATGTAGCTGAAGTAACATACCTATGGTCTAGTTACATCGATCCAGGAAGGCTGATTGTTAAATACAAATACACAATTTGACACCTGATTACTCATCTTAGTGTACTACTTATTCTGTTATTTAATGTATTGCCCATTACTCTTAATGGGATTAGAAGACTTGTAGCAGCATGTAGATATGTTTCTGAAGAAATATATGCATAGTCTGGTAATATATGTTAATCCGTAGTTTGTTCTATTTTACTATACTGTTTATTACAACAGGCATAGGCCAAGCAAAAAAATTTACACTATTCAGAGTAACTGTGTTCTGCTTTGCCCCAGACTGGGCAGAAGGATCATTTACCATTTTGATGTGATGAGCTAGGGCATGTTCAGTTTTGTTTGGAGTACTGCTAATGAGACACCCTTATTACTGATTAGGCCTGAGCAGAGAGCAACTGAACAAAGGAGAAGGCATTTACCTGATGGGATGATCTCTGAGTGTTTAAATTAAAGTGCTTTTAGGGACTTCTTATAGCTTCTGGCCCAGAAAGACTGTCACACAGTCCCCTACATGTGACAGATTTTTTTGCTTTTCATTTAGGAAACAAATCCCAATCAGACTGGAAATATGCTAGAAGACAAATGACTTGTAATGCCAATCTTCTGTTATGTCAACACATGATAATATCACCCTCCCTGCACACGGATGGCCCCTACTGTCTTGAATTTTAATTTAAACAGGATCTCTATGAACTGCTATGTAATGTGCTACACGTACATGTAGTAAAAGGAAGCCCGGTCCTGAAGAGATTGCCAAAAAATGGATCGGATAGGACAGAAGGTATTTTTGTGTCTATTCCCCAGGTGGGGACCTGAGGTGCAGAATAGGTTAGTGGATATACCCAAGGCCACAGAGGGAGGCTGAGCTTAGTCTGCAGTCTTGTGTACAAGAGCACCCATCTTCCTCCAGTACTGTCATGAATTTTTACGCTTACCTCTGTCTTCGGAGATGTACCACTGCTCCTATGAATCCAGAGGGTCCGTGTCCCCAGTGTCACTGCAGGCACTGACTCAGAAGAAGTATTTCCTCCCTGGGAGCAGGCCTACGACAGTGTACTTACTGCTGTAGACCTTCTCTCTGCAGCTGTGAACCATGTGGTGGTACTGACATCACATTTCAGGACACCATAATCAGTCTGCTAGTCATCTTCTACATCTGAGCTACAATTTAGGGTCACAGTGTTTAGGACTTCTTCAAACAGCTGCAGATTAGTGGGTGGTCAAGGGAAATCTAAGAATTAATGAGCACATTTAAGTATTGGCTTCTTCTGTGTAGGACCCTTCCTCTGTCCTTTTCTGGGGCAAAATTTTTTCACTTCAGCTCCTCCCTTCTAAAGTCCCTGTGTGTCTAGGAAAGTACTTCTTTCCTTGATTTCTTCTACCCTGAGCAACTTCAGGACCAATTTGCCCTGTGTGTGTAATTGCCTTCTGATGAAAAAATAAGGCTGTTAGTTTTAAAAAGCACTCTGAAGAGATGACAAGTACAAAATACACTGCAAAGATCCCTAAACCCCAGCAGATCATTATAGTAATAGGAGTCTAAGGAGCAAGCCAGCCTGCCTCCACTTGGCTGTCATAGACCCACTTGCAATGGAAATAGTGTCATGAGACCGCTGAGGGGACAGACAGTTGTGTTAGCGCTGTTATGGGGATTTGCCCAATCAAATAATGGCATGAAAAACAAGGCAGCATTTGGGGATGTCTGGAGCAATAATGGCTTCACCCTTTCCCTCCACACTGGACACAGTGAGCAAAGCCCCAGCAGTACCTTCCTTATCCCTCAGCTCTGAACCATGCTGCTTCCCTGCTTGGCTCAGCTAAACTGGCTCTGGCTCTGAGCTAGTGTGAAGGTGGGACTTGGGAAACACAGTGACAAGAGGTAGGAAAATCTTTTCTGACCAGGGAGTCTTTCTCCTCTTGAGTGTAAACACAACATTTTGGATCACTCCTGTGGCATTTTTTGGGTAAGAGGTGTGTATGATTTGGATCGTTTGTTTTTTTCAAGAAAAAAAACCAACCTTCCCAACTCTAGCACTGATGCAGAAATTGTGTGACATTTCTGTCAGCAGATGAATACCGCCTGTCAATACCCAGAGGTGGCTGGGATGCTCAAGTTTGCTCTATACTGTACCTGCAACTTGCATTTGAATGTCGTAAGGGGCTTCTCTGTAACTATTCTTGAGGATGATCTGGTACAGGTCAGAAACAAATCGCTTGGTGCTGTGGATAAGGACTGGGAATGGTTCTTGCCCTCCCTCTTGTTGATATGCCTTCCTTTTGCCACATCACTGGTGGTGGTGGTGAGCCCTGGCCAAGACAAACATGCAGCTATAAAGTTCTGCTTCCTGACTTGGGTGGCAACAGAAACAAACCACATCTTTGAGCACAGAAGGGATATCTGTGTCTACTACAGCCACTTGTACATGATCAGCCTGATAGAAAAATATTTCAAGGACAACAATCCTGGAGGTTTCTTCAAGCTGTAAAGGCAATGGCAGGCTTTGTCCCCAGCAAAGCGCCTAGAGCTGGCTTGGCTTGGGAGGTGCCACATAAACTTTATGCTACAGTTCATTAGTTTGATCATCTTGAAAGCTGAGGGACAACAGCTGGTGTGATACAGATAAACTCATGCAATTTAGACTGAGAGATATGTTCTCACACTGGGGCTGACTCTGCAAGGTACTGTAGAGCTTCAGCTCGTGCAGTAGCCTAGGTTTAAAAAAAAAGCACAGAAATTGCCCTTAGCTTCTACAGAAATGAGCTCAACATCCATGTTAATAGAAAGTGTAATATTCAGAAAGGACAGTGTTGGGACCTCAAGCGTTGTCTTTACAACCTGATCACTCCCCTAGGTCACTCACAGTTTAATCAAGAATGATTTCAGTTCAGTTAGCATGAACTGTAGTTGCATGCTTGAAAAATTCTGCTTCTCGTGATGAATCACAGAGGTTCCCCAATGTTTTATGGTTTGCTGAACACTGTGGCTTCAGCTGCAGAGGGCTGGATTGTGCAGCTGACAAACTTGCATGCACAGAAGTCCCTCTACCCTTACCACCACAGGGAGGCTTATAAAAAGACTAACCATAAAAATAGTGAGCAGTTATGCAGGACTTCATGAACCTAAAGCACTGCATGAATTTTCTCCAACAGTCAACTTCTTTTAAACTGAAGTGACAGCTTGTGATAAAGGCCAAAGGACAACTACAGCCTCCATAGCCATGCAGCTGTATTTCATCAGATGCCCAAGAAAACTCTAATTGCAGGATTTCTCCTCTGACAGGACACAACACAGAATCTCACAGAGATGTATGAATGCATGGTGCTGTCCCCGCACAAACCACCGTGTGGCTCTTCAGCCTCACAGTCAGATCAAACCTATGTGAGGGATAAAAGAAAAAGAGCGAGAAATTAAAAAATTAAGAGTGAGAGATTGCACAGAAAAGTAAAGCCTTTCTTCAGTCTGTTGAGTCAGGCCTGGAGACTGGAAGAAGAAACGTTCAAACTGTTTCAGCAGAAGGCAGTTAGTGTAAGGGTTGCAATGTTGCCAGCTCTTTTCCTACTACCTGTACCACCAGAAGAGAAACATTAATGCCTCAGCAATAAACAGCTTAGTGAGGAGCACCTATTCAGGACAATTTCAGGTGAGGCAGGCAGAACAGGAACATTTACAAATAGTTCATGTAAAAAGTGAATGAGAACAAAGAAAAAGAAGAGGCAGCTTTAATGCCTCATTAGATGATTTTACTGTCCGCCTTCTGCCACAAGCAATTTTGTATAAAGTCTGGTTTTTATAGAACTTCTCATACTCTTCAGTACAGTACTGCATATTGCCATTCCACACCAGAGAAGTTTGTCTGGAGCCTGCAGTCTCTCTGGGATTTTTTGGTGTTTCTCTATTTGGAGAGGTGGTAACAAAGCTGTGCTACACGGATGGATTGTGTACTTCCAAAGCGGAAACTGAGAAGAGAAACAACCATTTTTTGTATCGGTCACCTGGATGTTGCCTTCTGAGACTTCCTCAGTCAAGCCTGAATGTCCTTCTACTCTGTAAGAATCAGCATTGTATACCATGACTCATGAATCATGCATCTTTTCTTGCTGGCATTACTGCTACTGAGGGCAGTCAGCACCATGCTTTGTTACCTGGGAGTATCTTAGACATAAAAAGTCTGAATTTCCTAATTAATAATTAAGCAATCGTAAGTCCTAAACAATAAAGATTTAAATACTTTGCTACCTCAAATAGTAAGCTATCTATGGATTTCATGGCAGGTTCATACCTTCATTCTCAAGACATAATTAGTGTCTTTGAAGCATGACCTCTGATAATATTATTTCAACTGCAGCATGCTGGCACCTGACTGTTCATCCCATTCAAACTGAGTGCCTGAAAGAATTATAAACCTGTCTCAGTACCACTGCATTTACAACAAATGGGCATTTCAAACATGATGGTTTACTTGCTGTAGTACCTATCCTCCTAACCCATATGCAGACTACAGCATCCATGACAGGAATCAGAGAATCTTCCAACAGTGACCTCTGTAATCACGTGAGATGTGATATGATAGGTCAGATGGTAGAAGAAACAACTGCCATTATACCTGACACACTCATTCAGGGGACAGCTCAGCAAGAAGGATGAGCAAGAAAATGATTTTAATTTGGCTGAGGGACTGCGCAGCTCGTGCTGCTCTCCATCTCCTCTCAGCACCTCTGAAAACTCAGCAAAAAGAAGCAGAGCTGTGATGCTAAATGTTCTTTTGTGCAAGATGAATTTGATAACCCTTTACAAAATGTGGTATATGTTAAAAACAAAAAAAAGTAACAGCTGATAGATGGGAGTTCTAGCTGGATGGATACTGCAAGTCTTACCTTCAGGTGGTATTGTTACAATTCCTTCCTGTAACTCCACTGCTTCTCCCATACCAGCTTCATTCACAGCTCGGGTTCAGAAGTAGCATTTGTCTCTCCTGCAAGCCTCCCACAGTGTAAGTGGTACTAGAGAAAGGGATCTTGGTGCATTTTGTCCATTTCTTGGCGTCCGCAGCTCACATCTGTAGTATGTATCCTGACAGCACATCTCCCTGGTCTGGCTCCTGCCAGGCTAAGGAAATGTTGGAATTGGAAAAATCCACCACCTTCAGCAGTGCTGGAGGCTCTGTGACAGCAGGAGAGCTGTGACACACTACTGTACCCGCAGGCATATGCTTGCATATGTGAATACAGACCTGTTCCTATTTCAAGATGCCAAACCTGCAAGGTTTTAGGGTAAAAGGAGCCTTAATAAACACAGTGCAAATTCTGTCCAACAAAACAATGCGGTTCCTAAGATGGCACATACATGTAGACCCTGTTCCAAGGTTGGCCATTTAAGAAAAATCCTCACAACATTTGACACGGAATCATCTGAAGGTGCTATCTGGACTGCTTGGATTAGTGAATTTGCTTACTGGTTGCAAGATCCTGTTAATGTTCTTCAAGTTTATTTGCCAAAGATTACAGTACCCCTAATTAATAATAATTTTTGAAAATACAGATCTTACTTTTTGCACTTTAGTCCATCTTGCAGCAGTCTAGTTAGATCTTCATAGTATGTAAGAAGAGCAAAAGATGGAATATTAAAAAATATTCGTATGTTTTTAATCAAATGAATAGGGAGTTGTGTATCCAAATCCACATTCTGCTCTGAAAGTCTCAGCTAAAATGCAATGATCCTCCCCCTCTGCCCCAAACCAAAAAAGTCAACCAGTGCAGCATGCCATGACAAACTTGATGCTATTGGCTTTTATACAGAACACTCACATGAGCACACAGGGTCATAAGGAATATGGTGCATATGGACAGTACATATTCTCCTAGGCCTAATGTGAAATAATGCAAATCTTCAAACAGGAGAAGAATCATAGCTTCAGGCTTTAAATTGGTTTTGTGTCGTCTTCTGATGTAAAGAAACCTGAATGCTTTCCCATCAGAGTAACTATTTAACCTCAAGTCTCTCATCTACTACATAGAATTCTCTCTCATTTTTCAGCTATACTGGCTTCCACACTTGGCCAGGTTTTTTTCCTAAATTATGTGCAGCTACTAAGGCCCACTCCTGTATCTATTACAAGATTCCATCAATAGTTTAAGCTATTTATTGATGGCCTCTGACAGCCTTTTGTTTTTAAAATGCTTTAGTTATATGGTCATATAGAGTAAGAATTCTCTATAATTGGCACAAAATAAAAATCTGCCCATTTCAGCATTTCTGAGGCTACTGTAATCCTTTGGAGTTTGTCTGTGATTTTGATCAGTCCAGAATTAAGCACAGATTCGTTACAACTAAAAATCCAGTATTAAAAAAAAAGAATGTAAGCAACTTCCATGAATTCTGCAAGAGCTTTCTCTTCTTTTAAAAGGGTTGATGGGGGACTGATGAAAGGAGCATAGTAACATGTATGAGAAATGATTTTCTTTGTCATACATTAGGGCCTTTGGCAACCTATATATGAATATTAAGTACTAAAGGTATCTGCACCTCAGAGCACCTTTATCATGTTGATCTCTGCTGTTTGCATATACTCAATTCCCCCCAGGTGGGAATCTTTTACTTATCTTAATAGTTACACATTTTAAGTGAATAAATAGTATCACACTTTCAGGCACTTATAATATAATTACAGTTATAGCCAACAGTATTAAGACCTTTCTTAATCTTTAGTTAAGCTGTAAAAACAATGCAGTCCATTACATTGAGCCAGGCTGGAATTGCCACATTCCCTCAGACTTCAGTCATAAATGCATAGATCTGGTCATCGCATACATGTTTAGGAAACCTAGACATTAAACAGTGGAAGAAGCACACTGATGGGATCCTTTGCAACAAGAGGTTGAGGGCATGATGAGAAATCCAGGGCCTGTACAGTTCACAGCTATCATACGGAACTCATTCTGTATCCTCCAGAAAACCATCCACTTTGACTCTGGTACCTAGAGACATGCAAGCTGCAGTTACACAACTCTCTAATCACCAACAAAATTGTTCCCACGTGGTCACTAATTTTTTTTTTTTTTAATTGCTTTTGGACTGAGATAAACCAAGAAGAAATTTCAGCTCACAGACTGCTGGAGAATAATATAAATTTTAGGGGTTCAAGGAGCCCCTTAACTAGGTCTAACATTTACTTCTCCAGGGGTCTGCTCCATTTTCATATCTCTCTCTCCCTAGGAGGAGATGGAATTTTGATGCATATAATAAGAGGAAAAATGCGTAATTTTCTTTCCACTAGATCACAGTCTATAGCTTGGTATAATCATACATGCTGGGAAAAAATATCTTCATGTCTTGCTCCACTGACTTCAGTGGGATTTCCCATGATGTAACGAACTCAATAGTGAGTGGCCAAGCCTTCCACAATCTAGCTTTCAAGCAAGGTTAAATCTCCGTTCAATTTTGAAAAAAACCCTCAAGAATTGAATAATTTGCTTTAAAAAGTGTTTCCATTATTTACCATTAGTAATGTTGGTGCCTCAAGGAGGATATTTTTGGATAGTGTGATTGATTGTAACTTAATTAACATGAAAGTCCAACATTTTGAATGAGACAGAGGAAAGAATCCAAGAAAGAACCAAAATATTAACAGACAAGGAAAAGCAAAAGTCTCGTTAGTCAGATGCTGCTGCTGCTAGGAACACTCCCATGTGTTATACAAGCTGTGCTAAGCATGGATCATATGGTTCCTATCTGATGGATACAACAAAATCAGTCACTTGTTTAATTCAGTTCTGGTCCAAGTCAGGGAAAACCAGTCAAATTTAGGTAGGGATAAATGTAAAACATAGATCCTTGAAACTAGGCACCCAAATCCATTAGGTGTGATTTTCAGAGGTGCTGAGTGTTCTGCCCTCTCATTATTGCTTGTGCTTATCAAGCCATTTCTATTTGAGGGCTGAAAATCTCACTTTGAACAGCATATGTCAAAATGTGTATCTCGCTAGATGTCATGACGAAATTTTCCTTGATTAATCAATATTCTGCTTTGCATTCAAAGCTTATCTAACTTTCCTTCTGCCTACATAAAACAGATAATAATCTTGGTATGACGTTGGACTGGCTCCTTGATGACTGGGACACAAAGATTGCTGCCCTTCTTCCTTTTTTCTATGACTTAACCTTGCACTGTGGAGCCTCCATCCTGGGCTGGGGAATTCCAGGTGATGGTGACAGCTTCTTTCCTGACATCTACAACTTGAGGCTGACACACCTGTCTCAGAGGCTCTACACAGAAGAAAATCAAATTAGCACAGTACAATCAGAATTCATTGACTCCAGATTGTGTGTATGTGTTATGTGTTTGCGTATAAATATATATGTAGGTATGTATGGCAAGAAGTCAAGGAAGGTAACTTGTATGTTTAGGTTTATTCATGGCCACAATCTTTTTCTAAAGCTTTCTTTGCCATCTACTTCCCTTTGTCATTTCAAATGTTGAAACATTTCAATTTTTTGCACTTATTCAAAAAATGAGCTCTTTCTGCGATGAATTACAGAGTGGCTCATAAATGCCTTCCCTAAGCCATAGGAAGTCTGGACAAAAATGCAAAGTTTTAGATGAAAAATGATATATATTACTTCAAGCTAGTAATTTTCTTTCTGAAATGTCTCAATAGGCCAGACTTGCTATTTGCACTGTATCTTCTGTGATACACTCTGGTCTTGGGAAAAGGGGACTGGAAATCCCCTTTCATTGGGGGTCCCAGTCCATAATGGAAAAACGGGAACAAGAGGTACCCAAACTATAACTCCCAGAAGATAGTTCAGCAGTGTTTTCTATCCAAGTTAGTTTTTGGTTGACATATTTTCTTTTTTGCCCACAAACCAAAATGTTTTTAAGCATTCCCTTTTAAATTATCTTCTCTCCTCCCCCTTGATATTTTCCAGAGAACGCCACGTTTCATTTCTGCTGTATCCCACTAAGCTTACATAACTGACACTAGAACAGCGTGTCAGTCAGTCCTCTCGTGTGGCCAGTCCATGTCAAAGGGTTTCTGAGTCCACAAACACTTGCAATGAAAGGACCTGGGTATTTGTCTGATCCTGGTTATCGGCCTAAGCACAAAACAGCTTCTAAGCTCTGTCCTTGGAATTTGTCCCCTGAAGCACAGAGGACAGTGTTCTTTTGGGGAATGGCAAGGAGGAAGAGGACAGAACCGATGGGAAGAGGGACTGTGAAACCACATTAAAACCAGCTGGCTAATAGGTTCTCCACCAAAAATTTCTTCTGTTTCCAGGGGCTTGATGAGGCCCTCAGAGTTGATGGCACGTATTCTGAATCAGTAGGCTTTCCCTTCCTCCACCTTCTCGATAGCAAATGGGGTGTAGTTGCTCTCCACCGCCCCTACTTTGACCCACAATTTTTTCTCCAGCCACCCTCCTCTCTATGACGAAGTGAGTCACCTGCTTTCCTACATTGCCTTTGGGTGCTTTCCATCTCATTTTACATTTTCCCCATACGTTGCAGGAACTTTGCTTTCCCCTGTAGGGGTTTCGGTTTGCCTGCAGTGTAAGCAGCTGACCAGACTGACATGGAGGGCTATATTTAGAGGGTCATATCCTCTCATGGTGTAAGTCAGTGTAGATTACAGCAAAACTAAACTGACTTGAATTGATAAATCAGAGTCTGTCCCACTGCAAGAGTTTTAAAGAGAAAGTCTGAATTACAGTGTCTGTGACCAAACATATCTACCAGTGATTGTCCTGGTATAATATGATTGATTTAGGACCTACTAACAAAGTTGAGGTAAGGATTGTCAGAAGCTGAGCCACAGTGACTTTTCAGATTCAGCATAATAGCTCCACTGTCTTCTCTCACACAGGTTTTGATTGTGAGTAACGCAGTCACTGGCTTTCTCCATCACTACTTTCTCTTCCTTTGCCACTTCAATATCATCTTTGAACCATGTGACTTTGGGCATTGGCTTTGCCTTGGAAGGCACCTTGATGCCTGCTGATGCTTAGTCTTCACAGTAATGCTCTTTGCAGCAAAAATCTCGAGGACAGTTTCTTCAATAACAGGACAATCTAGAAAGAACAGAAGATATTTGAAAGCTGCAGCTGCAAATATAGCTTGACATCTTTCCTGTGTCTGCGAGTTCCCAGAAAAGGTGGTCCAAAGCTGGGCACTTCATATACTCCTTCATGTTTTTACTGTAAGAATTCTGTATTTTGTGAACATCTTCAGGGACACTCAAAATCTTCAGTGTGTTTTGATTCAGTTAATTTAGTTGTGTTTCTTGTACAGGGAGCTGGCTGCCCTCCTTTAGTTGTTCAGCTCAGCAGAAAAAGAGGGACCTCTGGGAAACAGCAAGTCCCAAATCTCCTCACTTCTCTAGGGCCTGGAGATGTGATTCCATGCAGTTTCTCAGTTTTGCAAGGCACAAGAAGAAGCCCTTTGTGCTGTTCTTCCCTAAGGTAACACTGGGATATATATCTATGATCATGATAAAGACAGTAGAATCAAAGTTAGGTACTGCTTGTACAGAAGATGCTCCCCGATTTATTACAGAGTAATACAGGAAAATGATAAAGATGTCCTGCACAAAATAATGAAAAATAATCAGGTTCCTAAACATATTTGGTATTTTTCCTTTTATTTTTGTCACACAACGGGTATGTTTAGCAATTACAATCTTCTGCTGAAAGTCATAAAAAGGCATTAAAAAATATTTTTTAATGCAGGAAAATCAATCCTCCCTATACCAAAGCTTTGCTGTGGATGGGTTTTTACCACAGCACAGGTATGATAAATATTCAGCGTTGCAGACACAGCATCCTCACTGCTGCCTTTGTCCCACTGCCTGGGCAGCAGTATGTATCCGTATCCGCCTTGCTTTGGTTCAGCAGACAGCAAAAGGCTGATTTCCAGGCTGCAGACGAGTCTGAAAGTCCACCTGGCGCCATCTGGCTGCCAAGGGCTGAGTAATACACATATTTATATATTTCTATATATAATTTCAGAAAAAAGGTGTTTTTCTTGTTGCTGATGACAACAATGTTTGAAGTAAAGGCTCAGGCCCAAATTCTTGATCACTGATTTATAAACACAGAAACATATGCTTAGTCACTTAAAATCAACCAGTACAACTTGTTCAATTTTCTCTCCTTGGGGAACAAAGCAGCAGAAAGAAGAGGTTTTGCTCATGTGCATAGATAAGTCTGTAAAATGGTACAGGCCCAGGTAAGGAGACCTGGTGAAGCACTGATTCTGCAATTGTTTGTGTACGCCTGGTAAAGAGCAGTAAGGAGATGGGGTGGCTACCTCCAGTGGCAACTGTTGCTCCGCTCTCTGCCCCCTTGGCTCTGAACGTCTACCTCCCTTCACGCTCCTCTCCCATTCTGTCAGTGATGAGTTTGTGGATGGCTCCCTGCTTCACTATCCAGATCCTTTTCATGTCCATAATCTGACAAGAAGACTGAGGCAGGAAACAACCCACATTGCAACAAACACCATCTCCAACCCTGTCCCTGAATTCTGATCTGAGTTTCCTACTCTAAGATAACTATGTGGTCAGGATTTCTAGCTCCTACTCTGGTAAAATGGTCTGTGATCTATGGACAAAACGAATTCAGTGTTACATGGACAGAGTGATTCTGCGCATCTGCCTAGATGAGCCACATGGCATGTAACGAAGGGTGTGTATTAGCATGCAAAGGGTACATTTACTGATTACTCTGAAAATTAGAGACTGGGAGACAGAGAAGGGTGGGTGGTGAGAAGCCAACCTTGTGGGAAAGAAAGCAAGTCTACAGGCTGAGAAAATGGGTTAGCAAATGTGAAAGCATCTTTACAGCAGACTGGGGAGGAAAATTTTTAAAAAGCCAAGATCCAAAGCCAAAACTTAGTAAGACTGAGACTGTAGTAGACTGGGAAAGATTAGATCTGTTCTTATGTGATCTGTCCATCTGTTTGTCCTTAGTCAGAAGTCCTTTATTAACACCAAGACATGTCCCGCAGCAGCTATTTGGATAAAGCTTCCCACTAGGGTTTTGCAGCCTTTCATTACACTGACGATACCATGGGCATTTTACCTATTTGCCATCCTTGAGCCATATTCCTTCCACCTTTGCATTATTCAGGACAACAAAGAGCTCAGCAGGATCCCTGATTAGAGCATGAACATCACACATGTACTCTTCATGGTTGCAAATGTGTCCGGAAGAAAATCCCAGTGGAAGCACGTGAACAGAAAAACTGTGCAGAATGACTGTCAACTGAGCTCTTCAAACACCAAGGAGGTATTTAACGGCAGGGAGACCTCCTAACAAAATGGACAGACCCTCAGGATGAGAGTGGTTTAGTAAATTGGACATCCTGGGAAAAAAGGGGGACGGAGAAAGGCTGTTCCTAAGTAGTTTTTCCCCTTCTTTATGCATGTTCACTGGAGGGAATGCAGTTTAGGAACCCAAAAGCTGAAGCAGAAAACAGCCTCTTGGCACTGCTCCAGACCCTTAGCTGGTCCAGAGGAGCTGTCAAACGAGCCGAACATTTCCTCTACTGCTTACGTAGTATTTGTATCTCAACCTGAACTCCACGTGGGGAAAGACAGTTCTATAACTGAGGCACCAAACTGCAATTCTAGTGTGCACAGGGGTCAGAGGCAACTCAGCCACGGCTTTCCAGGTTACCTGTGCCGCAGAAGTGGTTTCTGTCCCAGGGCAGTGGTCAGAGAAAGCCCCCGCCCCACACTGTCCCTTCAGGCCACCCTGGCCATGGCCCATGGAGGACACTCACATACCAGACCTGGTGCCCATCCTCCAGGAGCCGGGGCTTCCCTGCCCACCACCAGCCACACTCAACCCTGGCCACAGAATCCGTGCCAAGCTGCACAGCTGGAAAGCCCAGTGCTGGGGATAACATTGGGAAACTGCTCTCTTCTGGCCTGTTTTGGGAAAACAAAATGAGAAATACATGGCCAAAATGCAACTAATGGAGTGACTTCCACCCAAGTCTGTATACCAGGACAGGGTTTGCAGGGCATCATCTGACACAGAAAACGCAGGACTATTAGGAAGAGACCAGCCACACAGAGACATCTGTCAGGGGTGGGCACCAGGGCAGATCAACCTTCCATGTGAGAAAATCTGCCTGATCTCACAGCTGAGCTTCTTTTGGCCCTGAAGTTTCCTTCATACCTTCCTACCAACTGAATATTCAGTTGTTCCTGAACCTGTGAAGGATACACTAGTATAATTTTACCCTCCTTCCATGCAGTTCATTTTAAAATCATCTTAAAATGCTGCACTATTCATGGAAGGCACCTGGCCATAGCTCAAAGCTGGTCCACATCTAACAGAAGTCATCTCAAATACTAACAGCCACTAAAATCTACACCCTACCTTTGAAATTCTTCTCCAGGCTGAGAGCACAAAGCTAAGCTTTCCAACTTTTCTTCCTGCTCTTAACAGCCTTGTGTCTTTCTGTAAAGATCATAGACTTAAGCATCAATAGTTTACAGCATCAATAATGCTACTGCAAAATTAATTCCCCAAACAAATGGGATATTAAATATTTACCAGCCTCACGTTGTGCTGCTGGTCCTCAGCAGACTGCAGTCAAACGTCCCATGGGTGGCTTTAAAGAATCAGGATAAGAATTCATTAGGACAACCCTGATTAAAATAAAAACCAGCACACTTTACTACGCTGGTTTAGGTGACGTGCAATGGAAGATTTAATGCTTTATGCTTCTATTGCTTTATACAGCAAAGGGAAGTCCTTAATTATTACCTTCATGCTACCAAGAAGGGGCACAGACTAATGGCTTATTCCATGTTAAACAATAAATAGACTGCAGAGCAGTGTTATTTCACATCAGTTTCCTAAGCTGTTATAGCAAAGTAGCACTGTTCCTTTGCAGAGTTTATGGAAAAACAGTGTAAAGACTGCTATTCCTCCTCCTCTTCCTCTCTCGAGCCATTCAAACTTACCTTCCACAGTTACGCTGGCACTGCTGTACTGCTTATTAGGGTCACTGTCTTGCGTAGCCTACCATTGCTGTGCAACCTCCTGAGTCACTCAGCAGCATTAATGATAAGCTCTGCTTTCTTCCCTTCGTGCTTCGTGGTGTACTTCGGAGACGTCTCAATCACTCGTCCATTCTTCATCGCCTTCAGGGTGACATCTTCAAAAGTCAGCACAAACTCCAGGCAGGCTTGTCCCTTCTTTTTCACTTGGGTGTGAATTGCTGAATTGGAACCCCTGGGAAAGGGGAAGGGGTTGGCAAGAAAAAATGGCACATACCAACAAGCTCCTTATGAATCAAAACAAGTGGCTTTGCCTTTGCAGGATATAACATGGGCTCCTGTGCAGGAGAGATTCCAGGCTTGGAACTTTACTTCCAGTGTGGAAAGGACATCTTGATGCTCCTCTGCTTGCTCGTCCTCAGACTAGCTTTATGAGACTGCAGCTCCCAGTTTTCTCAGCCCAAGCTCTGGGGTTTTATGTTGTAGCTTTATGGATTTCGCAGCTCAAAACCTATCTTGCATTTGATCCACCCACTGCCCAGATGCTTACTTTGCATTACTTATGATAAATGAAGAGCAGAGTGTTCTGCACTAGATCTCCAGTCTCAATACTGAGTTCTTTAAAGTCACTGGACTGAACATCCTTACTTTTCACAGTCTGGGCCAATCCATCATCAGATGTGACAATTTCGTACTTATCGTCCCACTTCAACTCTTTCCCATTGAACTTCTAGGTGAAGTTTTGGACTTTCTTTGGCAGAGGGATTTCAAACACTGCTGTCTGTCTTTCAGTCACTTTCAGTGGTTTCAGTTCTGTCAGGAGTTAGGGCCCCACCTGTTAAAATACCAGAAAGACAATCATTCATTCTGTTATTTTCAGTTTCTGATCTCTGATTTCTTACACTAAATAGCAAGATGTCAGTGAAGTAATTTTGATTTCTTTCTTGAGTGGTAGCAGAAAGATCAATTCATTTCTTCAACTTCAGTGGAAATTATGCTAAATATAGTTCATAATATTCAGTAAAAGTTGTGCGTAATCCTACAAAGCTGATTACCAACAGACACACTGCTTTTCTGTTCAGCTCTTCTGTCTTCGCTCTACTTTTTTTTCCTCTCCTTTACTGCAGGTCATTGTAAAGTAAATGGTTTCAGGCAACTGCAGATGACATCTACAAGCACACCTGGAACCATATGGCAAGCTGAAGGAGGACTGACATCTTCCTGCATTACGTGTCAAGAGTGCTGCAGTTCCTGGCACAGGATCACTATTTGGCTTAAGTAAGGTAATCTAAATCTACCACACTACCAAAGAGCCTGTGTCCAAGCCCTGCTAAGGGCTTTATCAAAAAGATAAGTATTATACTTAAAAAATGGTACTTATGGCAAAGCTTAAGAGATGGTCCTACTGCAATAAAAGATAAGGCAGCTGAACAGCATCACTTTTACTTAGCACTGATTTAAAGCAAGTTTGATGTATATAATGTGGCTGGTTTTCTTTCAAACAGCAGGCACACATTTGGCTGGTTGTAGGAAGCACATGCAGATGAAAAAATATAGTTCTCATTATGCCCAGGCCCATCCACTCACTCCCAAGTCCTGTAACAATGTTTGAGCAAAGTTCACTTCCACAAAAAGGACAGTGCCAAGGTGCATTTTATCATTCCCATCTTTTCCACTAAAACTGGTCCAAATTCGGACTCACACCCCTGCCACACTGATGTCAGTGGAGAATTTGGTTTATTATGTGTAATAACTAGGCTTCAAACTGAAATCTGCTATCTCATGAAAGGTGTTTTCACATGGGTGCTCTGGTAATTGGGGGTTGGTTTATGACTTGTACAATGTTAGATTTCTGTTTGAGCCTAAAAAGACCAATGAATCATGAATGTTGCAAAGACATATAAGAAAAGAAAGTAGGTCACAGTTTGGCCCACCAATTTTGACCCTCATATGTTTGTCTCCAGATGTTGATATTGTACACAGAACCTTATGTATCTGAGAACAAAGATTACCTATCACTCTCAGCGTAACAGGTTTCTTGTCAGCCACAAGAGGACTGTAGGTGCCTAGGTCTTCCCCATTCACAGTGGTGATGCACAGCATATATTTCATACCCATATGCGTCGTATCGTTTTTTCTCAAGGAATACAGGGAACACAAAGGCTCTTCCCTGTAATAAGCACAGTGCTTTCACCTTTGGAAACACATGGAGATAGAGGGCAAAACACACAATGCTCAGTTTAAAGTCAGCAGGGGGTAGATTCTTTCATCCTGCTTCACCCCACTCTACTTGCAGCAAATCTGCCCTGCAAAGACTCTTCATTTTGTCTAACTTCAAAATTCTTCCAAGCTTAGTTGTTAGTAACTGGTCTAGTCACTAGTCAAGCCAGACCTCTAGAGCTTACCTTTACTCATCATCAAGGATACCATGTAGATGGCATCAGTGTGGGTGTTGGACACTACACACTAGTAGTTATCTGTATCATCTCAGGAGAAGCACTCAGATTGGAAAGAAAGAAAAACAGAGAGAAAGCAATAAGCAAAAGCTCCACATTGGTTCAGGTGGTAGGGAGCAGATATGGCAAACATATTAGTGAATTCCTCTTTTTATTTGTGTTTAAATCAGTATTTTTTGAAACACTAACAGAATTGACCTGTTGAAAACCCAGAATCTCTGAGGGCAGAATTTTGAGGCCAAATCCAATGCTCCCTCCTCCCTAAAGATCCCTCACAGCCTTCCCAAAGCCCCAGAAATAGACAGAAGTCTTCCCATTGACGGTGATGTATTTTGGATCAGGTCCATTCTTGGCCTAAGGCAGCAAAATGAAGCCACATTTCTTCTCAGAGACATCCTTTTGTTCCAGTGCTCCACACTAGAAGTGAGTATCACCCCCGAACTGCATAAGCAATACAGAGATCAGAGGACAGTAAATGAAAGCTGTTGGACTTAAGACTCTGGCGTACTGTAGGAAAAGAAAAAGAGTTTGACCTGCCCTGGCTGGCAGACTTGTAAACAAAGGACTGCCTGAGAGAAGAGGTGAATTAGAGTGGACTAAGAATTAAGGAAAGAGGAGAGAAAGGGACAGAGCAAGGGAAGCAAGGAAAAGAACAAAAGGGCAGCCATGGGACATCACAAATTAAACAGGGCTGAACTGGAATGTGTCCTGAATAATACTATGAATTATTAAGATTTAGCATTGGTTTTGCCTGAATGACACACAAGAGGAATTAGGGCCTCACTATGCTAAATATGAAACTAAGTAACAAAAATAACGGTTCCTGCCCTGATGCTCTTTTGATGTTGATCAGAAACATTGCCCTATAAACACACAGCAGTATTTGAAAGTAGCACTATTGCAGTAGGCCAACTGCAAATGGGGACATTTTTATTGCTGCTGAGGAATACTATAGTGCTTAAATCTTTCTTTTTTACAGTTTTTATTGTGAGAATAAAAAAATAATGAGCTAATGGCAAGAAAAAAAGGTGTGTTACCTTAGCATATACTTCTTAAAAATACTGTCAAAAACATTCTGGATCCTTCTTCTATTGGTACCCACTCTCTCTTTTTCATGTTACATTCGGCCTTGGTTTACTTTAACTCAGAATATTACTTTGTCTCCTAAAATTCAAGAAGAAACATTGGAATTAATGAATGAATGAGTGAAATGGAACAGGGGCCTGTTACCTACTTTCTCTCTTTGAGTTTATTTTAAATGCATGGTTTCTTTTTCTGTCTGTTTTTTTGGAGGAGATTACATTAACCTTGCTTTATTTTATTTATTGTACTTATTACAACTTTACATCCATCACAGATACCACTCCGGGAATGAAATTTGTTCATTAGCAGTGCTCTGCACACTGACAGGAATGATTTGTGATTTTTTGTGACATATAATAAAGACTCACATGATCTTCCTGTCACTTTAGACAGTCACAGATCTGTCATATGGGAGAGATTATACATGATGGAGAGGCTTATTTACTTATGCATTAAAGGTCACATTCTTCCAGCCCCAGCCAAATCATTCGATCATGAGTTTTGCATAAACAAGAACTGCTGTATTTATATCAATAAGGACAAGTTTCCATCAGCTAAAATGAACAGCAGCTTTCCCCCCCATTTTGACTGATCCATGACAAATCTCTAAAAACAGTGAGGATGTATATAGGTAACTGCAGTTTGCACCTGGTTTTGTTTACCACTCTTCAGTGGTAAACAAAAGTGGTTTGTAGAAGATGATGGACCATATTTCCTTGCATGAGGTGGGTGAATATACCTAAGAGCACCTGAAAATGCAGTCAGTTGTTGGCATGTACTAGGTAAAGAACTGTCTTTCACCAGAAATTGTTGTTACTCACCCTTGGATGTTGTCAGTGGACAATGTTTTTCCACAGTTTCAGGAAAGCTTTCTTCAGCAAGAATCTCAAAGGAGCGTGTCACCATGCTAAAAGACTCCAATAAGGCAGAAGTGTTCCTAGAAACAGCTTCTTTGGTTGGGGAAAAAATATGTTAATCAAGCAGAACAGAGAGGTACTGTTTGAAGGATTTATTTACTGGGAGTAGGAAAGGGTGGATGCAACAAGAAGGCCTGAAATGTGAAGTTACACAAAGAATTGCCCCAGTCAGTTAAGACTCTTGGGAGAGAAAGGTTTGTGCAGCAGGAAGAGTACTAGCTGTCCATAGGAGACTGCTGATCAATTCCTTGCTTCTTTCCAGTCTTTCCGTAGGATTTTGGGCAAGTAATTTGCTCTCTCTGTACTTGTCTTGTCATCTACACAATGGGAAAACTGGCCTGCCTTGCTGCACAAGGGTGCTGCAAGGTGCTTTGATGTTAGAAGTCATTCAAGAAAGGTATCAAAACTGGATGTATCAAAAGGCCCATGAGGACTTACTGTGTTCTGCACAGGCTGTACTAAGCTCCTGAGTGCTGCTCATGCCCTATGTCTAGACAAATGCCCATAGTTTAAGAGAAATCCTTCTCCTTTAAACTGTTCATTTCAGGAGGCTCCAAAGAGTTGCATTTTTCTATCAGAATGAAGCCATTTAGTATGTTTTTATAAGAACTAGTTCTTCAGTTCAGGTAAAACTATTTATTTTTTTTCCCAGCCAGACTGACCAGTAAGGAGCTCGTGCTGAATACTCATTTCTAAAAGCTCCATGCGAACACCACACTGGAACTGAGCTATTTTTCTGTGGTTAATAGCAAAAGGTCTCCATTTTACACCAGGAAGATCAATAGAAACTCTACTACCAGCTTGGATTATTCCAGGTTATTAATTTGGACTATTTCATTGCACTTTTCCTTAATCAAAGACCTCCCCAGCTCTCCTAAGTCTGTAACGTACAGTGGGATATGTGAATGCTACAAGGGCCTGTGCACACCCTGCTCTCAATGGATGTGGCTGGGAACTGCGTCATTGTCCTCATTGTAGTGCTGAGACAGTAAGGAGGTTGCTCTAAGCCAAGATAATCAAACCAAGACAAAATGTTTCTGATCAAAGGCAATGGCTGATGCACAGGCAATACCTGTAGTCTTGCAATAGCAGGTAGACCATGTACTGGCCTCTGAGAAGAACAAAAATACTCACTTTCCCCTCAGCAGAAGACAAACCCCACTGCACAGATGTAGCCCACCTTTTGTCAGCTTGGTGTGCATCACCTAGGGAGGCCATGTGATCATACTACAGCAAAAAATTCTGTCACCATATAGCCTGTTTCCAGTGGGCCCTCTGCTGCCTATAGCTATGCCAAGACTAGTCCCAGTATGGAAGGCAGTTTGGAGAAAAGGGACTATTCAATTCTAGTCCTTGAGGAATAAGTACTAGTTATGTAGAAATTGCAGCTCCCTAGTTTTAAAAAGTGTTCCTTGGCAAGACAGATATAGTAAGGAATGGTAGTCTCTGACACAATTGTGTGCTGCTGAAAGATCTTGGAGCAGAAGAAGATCAACCCAAAACATAAGCCCTTCCAAGATTTGGGGGCACAAATGTTAAAGCTATAATTATGCACTGCAACCTAGATGATATAGTCCATGGGGAAGACAATGTTAAGACCATATGACCTTGAGACTTTGCTTTGTTGCCAGCAGAAATTATAGCTATGCCAAAAGTGCTCCGTTTTGGGCATCCTCCCAAGGAGATCCTTTTCCTTATCAGAATATATATACCCTGGTCTCCTTGCTGAGCTGGCCTTTGTCTCCAGCCTGCCTGTACGAGAGACAAATGTTCTCTGACTCTTTATGTACAGAAGACAAGTGAAGAGTCTCTATCCTAGACTATGTATCTCCATATACCTCTAAAATTACACAGGGATATCATGCATCTCTAGACCCTGTTATGTCTTTCCTCTTCTACTCAGAAATTTTCTCACAGAGGCACAATTTTTAAAGTCTTTCCTACAAAGCAAGAAGCCAAGAGAAAGAGATCACTGTTGCTTTTGCCTGGTCTGCCCAAAGGTGTTCCCCTCCCTTACCACCCTCTCTCACTCTTCTGTTCTCAGCCTTTCACTCTTGCATACCAATGGTCATTGGTGTTGGTGACAGCAATGATTAGGGCTGGTTAGGAAGAGACAAGATGTTACTCTATAATCCCAAAAGCCCTAGAAAAGAGCCTATTTTGCTCTCAGTCATTATGGGGCAAATCCACACCAGTACTACCAAGTGCCAAAATGAGAAGACATACACCATGCTGCTTTACTCACCTGCTCCGCTGCACAACTCTCTGCATACCTTCAGATTTATTTGCATTTTCAGATTCTACAAAGCTCACAGTGACATGGTTTAAAAGCCAACCCACCATTTTAACAGTTCCTCCTTTCACCTTAAAAATGGAATTCCCTTTACCTATATTTCTTTTGCCTGATCAAAATTTTCATCCTTGCCCACAGATTTTCTGAACATGGAAATGCTATTGGTTAAGATTCAGTAGCTTGTGCCAGCTAAGGAGCAGAAATGGCTGGTATGAAACAGATTTTTTCTAAACTGCTGGGCTACTACCTTTTGTTATCCTTCAGTCGGGAGAGCAAGCACTCTGTTAGAAAAATTGCCCTTAATGGTAAGCGATGAGCTTTTGGAAGCCTTGTCAGATTACAAGATTTCCTGTTTCTTGGTGAGACTGGAACTGACTTCCAGAGCCCAGAAGGTTGCACTTGAAGGATGTGACAATGTCTGTTACTGCCCATCACCATGAGTCAACTTGCCCATACCTTGATTGTGGGCAAGAAAGAAAACAAAATGATAATGCAGACAACCCTCTATGCTTAGGAACACAGATACACCATGAATCAACCCACGGGCACTCTGCAGAAAGATTAACTTCACTCATCACATATAGTGTGGCTATCACACTATATTTACTGTGGCTGCTATTAACAGAATCAATGCACACTTACAAGGCAAACAAGATTTCAAGAAAAGACTTGCCAGTACCACTGAAGTACACACAACAAAGACTTGGTGCAAGTGAATGGTAATTTTAGTTTCAGTTACAGAAGACAGAGTTGGACAAATTTGACTAATTCTTTTGTAGGTAACTGTCGTGGTTTAACCCCAGCCAGCAACTAAGCACCACGCAGCCGCTCACTCACTCCCCCCCCATCCAGTGGGATGGGGGAGAAAATCAGGAAAAGAAGTAAAACTCGTGGGTTGAGATAAGAACGGTTTAATAGAACAGAAAAGAAGAAACTAATAATGATAATGATAACACTAATAAAATGACAACAGTAGTAATAAAAGGATTGGAATGTACAAATGATGCGCAGGGCAATTGCTCACCACCCGCTGACCAACACCCAGCCAGTCCCCAAGCGGCGATTCCCTGCCCCTCCCTTCCCAGTTCCTAAACTAGATGGGACGTCACATGGTATGGAATACACTGTTGGCCAGTTTGGGTCAGGTGCCCTGGCTGGGCATGAGAAGCTGAAAAATCCTTGACTATAGTCTAAACACTACTGAGCAACAACTGAAAACATCAGTGTTATCAACATTCTTCACATACTGAACTCAAAACATAGCACTGTACCAGCTACTAGGAAGACAGTTAACTCTATCCCAGCTGAAACCAGGACAGTAACTGAGTCTTCCCTACACTGTACTTTTCACAGCTCTTTTACTTCTAGTTTTAAGTGCCTCAAGGAGTTATACTTCAGAGTGGTACTTCACAAGGTTCCTTTCTTGGAAAGGGAAGGCTAGGAAAAGCAAAGCAGATATGAGACTAAAGCTATTGATCTCACACAGCCAATTGCCACCCTGCCTGCCCACAGCCACAGAATACAGAGTATTAGAACATTGTTGAAAATATAGGTTTATGTATATTTTGCCTTTTTTTTCCCAGCTGCTAAGGTCCTGATCATTCCTACTAAGAGACAGGAGCTTTCAAGACCATTACTGACCCTTCTGTGTCCCTCAGCTCACATGAAGTCCTGTAGATTGTTGCATTCCTAGGAAGATGCCTGGGTCTCTTTACAATGGACAAATATGGCTTTGAGTAGTCCAAAATTTAAATACATACTGGCCTCTTGTGGGCTATGTTGTTACATCTTTTACAGTGGCTTCAGCAGTTTCTCATTCTTGGAGTAACAGGATAATGAAACTTCACGTATGAGGCTAAAAGGAGTAAACCTCTGTAGGCCAAAAGATACCTTTTCATTTAAAAATAAACATTACCTCCCCAATACCAGGTTTTCTTATGATTGATTGTGACACTATTTCAAAACTTTGATCAAAGGCAGATAATTAAACAATTTACCAGTCTTGTTTTTCACGTTAAAATGTGTGGGGCCAGGTTTCAAACAGTTAAACATTCAAATTCTGCTTTGGTGTTTAAGGCAGTCCCCAGTGCTCCTTTCACGCCTCAGTGAAATGGCCAGGTTTGGCTTTATTTATTTTTAAGTTATACTAGCAGTAGGTTCCACCATTTCCAAGTCTAGCCAGTTCATTCAGTTACTCAAACAGGGACGAGGCTCTTTAGAAAATCACTTCACAACTTTAGATTACAGAGGTCATTCTTTAATCAGTTCTCTTCTACTTCTTAGTAAGTCTGAGATTCTGTCACCCTTCTTCATATGGAGAAGGACTTCATTCCTGGGTAAGGTAATTCTCAAGAAGAGAATGAATTACAGATCTCAGTCTGTGTATGTAGCTCTCTTTTACTTTACCAGCATTAACAGCAGCAGTGAAATAGTGCTGGTACAAGAGGCTGTTTTACATGTATATAGGTCTATCCATTCTGAAGGACACAAACTACATATCCTGTTTGCAATGAAGGCTAAACTAGCGGCAATAAACTGCTTCTCTTAACTGACCACATCTGATTTCTGTTTGGAACAGACTGCTCTTATCTGTTCTGTATTTATGTTAAATTAAAATGTAAAGGGAGTCTAGTGCAGGAGGCACCTGGGTTATGCTTTGCAAAACACAGGAACTTAGAAAACCAAAGAACATCAAAATCTAACCAACTTCCAGAGGCTGACAGGAGTAATTCTAGGGGTAAACTCTGGAAAAAGCATTAGCAACCCCCCCCACCAGGAACATACCACCTTTCCTGATGATTTTAAGATGATTTCTGCTAGTCTAGGAAGGAAAGAGGAAGCTAAAAAATTTAACAAAATTAAAGAAAAAATTGTGCAGAGGTCAAAACATTGTCAACTTTTCCAGTTAGCAAAAAATACCATATACAGACAGCCAAAATAAACACATACTGTAGTTCACAGGCTAAAGGCTTCCAGCAAGACAGAGCTCTGTGCTCCCTTCTCTAGAAGTTAGTGTTCTTATTAGCACAGATGCATTTATCAAATCAGAAGCGTGTGGAAATGGGATTGGTCATGCTGTAAAGTGGATAAGATATTATTTACTGCTTGTCTAATAAATCTATTAAGTAACCAACCTTCACTTACCTCTTCAATATTCTAATTCAGGAACAAGAGCCCAACTCAGATACAGAGAAACCTGGTATCTGGGCTGGAAGTCACGTTTTTCCCAACAAAAACAAAACGCTGCCAACCCAGTTAAATTCCTCCCACCTACCCAAACTGACTCAAAAAACAGGCAGTCCCTTTCCATGTTCATTTCAGTGCTCGTGAATCCTCCCTCATGCTTCTGTTCTTACATGAGCTACTATGGCACAGTGAGTAGGCATGTGCGTACGCACACACATGAACACAC